TGCATTACGAGATCTATCAGATCTCTTGCAGGACTTTTGTATTGTGCGTTGACTATAATCGTGTTGTTTCACTCCTTGCGGGAGGCTCTAACGTGTAAAGTTCTTTAAGTATGAGTAAGACAAATATACATATTTGCTTTCTACTTAAAGGTGAATTTGAGGACATAAAAAAAATAAATAGAGATGGATTAGGTCCCTAACGCACAGTAGTATAATTATTTTTATTCCTTGCGTTAGGAGACATGTCGATACTCGTGGAATCGTACGCCTCGTAGACGCAAGAGAGGGAGGGTGGGCGGCGCGGGCGCTGTGTGAATTAGGGATGGAACATTTCACGAGTAGCAAGTGAAAAATCACGTGAAATACGTAATCATACGTCACACCTGCTACTTAAATTCATAGTGGCTGCTACAAATCACAACTTGGTGAAATCTAGAGCTGTAGCAAACCGTATGTATTCGTTACTGAGTAACGGGTACGCCATCTAGTACCGAGTACCGAAACGTTACTCACGAATGCATTTCGTTACTCGCATTTTCCGTATACATTTTCGTACTGATGTTTTTATTGATTTTTTATTCAACAAAATACAATTTTCAGTTAATACCGTTGATCAGTAAATTGGGGAGTTTATTTATTTCGAGTTGCATGATTTCGGATTCTTAGAAATATTGCTTAGAAATAATTTTAAATTAGAAACAACAATTAAATTTAGAGCACATTTTTAGTTTTTTATCCAACAAATACTTATAATTTTTACTGAATGATTATGTGTAATACGTACAGACATAACCACCAACGCTGAGAACGAGCTAGAAATGTTTATTAATGAACCAGTGCTTCCGCGGGATTCTTCGCCATTAGTTTGGTGGAAATCTCACTCCTATATGTACCCCAATTTGGCGGAAATATTTCATGAGCACTGTCACATCGTGGTGACATCAGTGGAGTGTGAGAGAGTATTTTCAAAAGCGGGAAATTTTGCAACCCAAAAAAGAGCACGATTAAGCAGAAAACGAACAGCGGAACTTGTATTTTTAAAAAGCAATGAAGACTATTGTATATAGATATCTCATAAAAAAATCAATCATCAAAAAAATCAAAAAGCAAAAAAAAAGTGTATAAAATTCTTTTATAAAAATTCTTATTGTACATAAAACAATGAACTTTTAAATACGCCAATGTAATTATGGAACTTAGCTTAATACAATTTTACCGTGTGATTACTCTGATATATTTAAAATTCATTTAATTTTACATTGTCTGTCCCAAGCCTGTAGAAGTATGAGGGAAAGTTCATTGTTTGAAAATAGGTTCATTCAAAGCACCATGTACGTATGCAACTACGTCAGATCTATATCTCTGCTCCATATCACATCAGTAGCGCCATTGGTGACATTTCATACTTCATTTTAATAGCAAATACTATAAAGTGTGACACCAGACCGTCGAAATCAAAAATCTATGCGTGAAAAGTAGCAGGTGAAATCACGTGAAAAATTGTTGTAATTTCATCACGTGATAATGATTTAAAAGTAGCAATCATTTCCATGCTTAGTGTGAATCGATTTAGTGTTGTCCTAGTGTCGACGTGGGAGGTTGCGCGCACGTTTCGAAAAAGTGTAAAAAAAATTTTATTTAATATATTTTATTTAATTATTTAATAAAATTGTTTTATTTTGGTGAGATTTCTAAAAATGAAAAATCAACGCCGGATTATAGTGCTGCATCGTCCAGTATAATTACAATTTTGGAAAATATAATGCTTTTTATTACAGAATTCCCCGAAGGAAGATGTACAGATCATGTTTTCCAATGTGGCGACACAAAAAGACGTTGTGTGGGTTGTTATGAAAAATTAAGACGCACATTAAACAGCACTGACGCTTCTAAAAAAAGCTAAAAAAATTGTTACCATTTGCGCGCAATGCAAATAATCAATGTGCTTACCATGTTTTAATGAAAAACACTTTGCATAGTTTATAAATAAACTGCTTTAATAAAACTTTTTCAATCGACAACTGAGATATTATTTTATTCCCATCACTACTTACTACACATATTGAACTATCTTCGGTTGCGGTACGAGATACAATCGATATCTAATTTTTTTTTGGTATTTGTAGTTTATTCTATTGTCATAACTGCGTGCGAACCTAGCAAGATGTAGAGCAATAGGCTCTCTTGACCCACAAAAACTTCAAAATATATGTCATTCGTTTTTTGGAAGATATAAATTATTTTCAAAACTGTATTTTTAGGAGACTGATTAGGTCTCTAACGCACCAATGGGTAGTTTAGTTTCGAGATCTTTTAGGTCTCCAAAGCACCAGCTGAAAGTTCTTTCAAAATGATGGCGCAGTGAACGTGTTATAACACTTTATTGCACACGAAAATAGTACATTAACATAAAAAAAAATATACAATTAAAGAGATGTGCAAAGGCGGCCTTATCACTAAAAGTGATCTCTTACAGGCAACCGATAGAAAAGGATATAAGAAAATTAGTTAGAAGAACGAAAAGGAGCATAAAATGCAAATCATTAAAACTTAATATTAATAAACATACATAATAATATATAATAATAAAATAATGTCTATATATATATATATATATATATATATATATATATATATATATATATATATAAACTAATGATAGAATAACCCTACTATATTATTATTTTTTGTTTTATTACATCGTTCTATTAATAACGTTATAACAATAAGTGTAAATAAATCGCATAATTTTTATATTACGAAATAATAGCATTATTTCATAGTTAAAATTATAAGATGCATGATGGTTAATGTTAATTATTGTAATTTTTTTTTGTTTATAATAATGATTTTAATTTTACTTCTTATTATTATGTATTACTATCAATTTCTTTTGTATTATGACATTTATCTATAATTATTTTATTTTATTTTTGTACTTTTAATACATGAATATTTAATTGCTATGTACACTTATAATTGACATACATATAAGGTATAGTATTATTACATTAATAAATTGAAAATGTTTCATATGTATGTTGTAAGTGTGCTTTTTACAAATAAATAAATAAATAATTAAATAAATAAACAGTTAAAATTATAGTACATTTATACATAATAGGTTTTTTTTACACACACATTATTTTCAAAAATACTACTCAGTTATTTTTCAAATAAATATAGAGTCCATTAATGGTATTATAGTAAAAAGATAATTAGTTTTGTATCAGGTAGGTATATGACCACCCTTATGAGGCAAAGTGATATAGATGGCTAATATTCAATATTCATTCTGCTTATACTCGTAACTTATTGTTTGGCTCTCGATTGACCTTATTCTATAGTAACTTATTAAATACTAAAAGAGACACAGGCTAGAAAGCTCAATCGATGAAGTTATTAGTTATAACATTCCTAAATGCCTTGAAAAAGCAATATAAGCACGTAGAATAAAAAAAACTTTTTATATTTGGGGATAGCCCTTTATGTACGCTAAGAAGTTATTTTAACAAATCTATCTTTATTGAATTTGAAAGGGTCTCATGCTTGTTACATTTACACGGCCAATTTGATGAATCGATCTAAGTAAAATTTGATACCAGTAATGTTGCACTTTGTCTTATTTGCTTTTACTACTAGAAAAATATTGTCATCTGCGCTTTTACTAAAGGAAGCTTTTTCTAAGTTCTGTAAAACCTCGCTTATTTCAGAACCAGAACAACAGATCTATCCCACGGGAACTCTTTAATTTTCCGGGATGAAAAGTATCTAAAATGTTGACCGGGGATATAAGACCACCATACAAAATTTCGTTTAAATTGTTCCAATAGTTTCGGAGATTAGCCCGTACAAACAGACCAACAGACAGAGAAGCAAAAATTTGAGAAAAAAACTGGATTTGTTCTATTTCTCTTCTTACATCCCCCCTGACTCGGTTTTAGCATTTTTTTTCTATGTACAGACATTCGACCTCTACAGTTTTATTATGCATATATATACATAAGCGAAAGTTTACACAACATTGTTATATTTTCATATAAATAAGATTGATCCTTTTTTTTTTTTTTTTTTTTTTTTTTTTTTTTTTTTTTTTTTTTTTTTTTAAACGTTGGGAAATGCATTTACGCACGAGGTGTGGGACTCACCGGCAAAGCCAGTACTACCCACTAAAACCCAACAAAACCTTCCCCCGTCTTAATGGGGCGTCGCAGGATCGCTTACGCATTCAACTACGACGCCCCGACGGCAGGTCTGCCGAGGCACACCACAACGACCATGGGGTTGCTCCAAAGTCCACTCTGCTATCAGAGAAGTACCAGGAACAACCCGCATGGTACACCGCCCTCCGAAGAGGGCCACCTCCCACCGCCCACCGAAGTGGGCCACATCCCTGTGCGTTTCTTGGCTTCGCGCCCGGTTGGGTTGCCGGGCACTACTGAGCCCCCCCACCACGACAAGGTGAACGCACGTTGGGGGGGAAAATAAGATTGATCCTACTCTAATGCCACCGAAAAACTTTCTTCAATCCTTTTTAACATTTTATTTTATAACAAATTACATATTATATGGCTTATTTTAAATGATAACTGTACATACTACTATTTTATTTATGGTCCTTCGTTCAGTGATGTTGCAGCGTATTCCATATAAAATATGCTTAGAATTTTTGACGACACGTTGGGCTCAGTTTGTAGTGACCCTACTTACTGTGCCAGCGGTTGCGGGTTCGAGTCCCGCTGGGGGCATTCATTTGTGTGATGAGCACGAATGTTTGTACTCCAGTCATGGGTGTTTATATTTATAATATGTATGTATTTAAAGTTATATAACATGTGTAGTGTATCAACTATCTGGTATCCATAACACAAGCCTCGTAGCTTACCATGGAACTAGATGGTGTTGTGTGTTAATGTCCCAACATACTTATCTAGATATTTATTATTTATAGTTTAATACAAAATGCTAAATTCAATAAAAAAATGTTAAGTGTGAGTTTAGACGAGATTTTTGTTAACGGTCTCAATACTTTTAGGTGATTGTGCGCAATAAGCTTTGACTCTCCCCGACAGTTCTACGCCGGGATCAGCCTTAATGATTACTGAGAAGTGCTTGTATCCGACTCCACCACGGAATATTATGGGTATACTCCCATTAGTTTGAATTGATAGATGTCTTATCTGAGAAATAAAGAAAATAAGCGTACAAACATCAATCAAAAAAGTACTAGATACGCAATCCCATGCAAAAGTTCTATTAAAACTGTAACCAATTGTGTTTAGGTAATTATTCTAGTTGTTGAAATAAATATACAACAATGTAAATTGTTTTTTTTTATATTAAAAACGCGCTCAAATGTCCAATTGAGCGCTCATTCTGTGGGAAAATTTTTGTCGCTGATTGTGTATCTAGTACTTTTATGATCGATGCGTACAAATGGAAACAATTATGACAGATTATTATATATATTGTTTTGGATAAAAAAAAAAAAAAAAAAAAAAAAAAAAAAAAAAAAAAAAAAAAAAAAAAAGAGAAAGAAACTGTCTTTATTTTTCATTTTATATAAGATTTTACTCTCTGCTACTCATATACATATGTATGTATGTATGTACATCTCATAGATTTAATTCTACATCGGGCTAATTTTAAAATATTAGTCAATTTTTTAACGCAAGAATTTTGTTCTAAAATAATAACATTAAGAAATAAGTTTGATTCAGTAAGTAGTTGTTCGTTGAAAACTCTGTTAAAGCTCTATTTGTACTATATCTTTTCTTTTGAGTAAATAAACGCTGTAAAATATATTCGACAAAAACTCTTTAACCATTTCAGTTCCGACTTCCGTCTAATTTATAAAAGAAATACTTTCTTACCGTACAATCAAAGTTTCCTTGACAAAATAATCTATGACCATCCCTTTTTGGGGGATATTTAAAATATTTATTATAAACTCTTCTGTCGCCTTTATATCGTCTTCCTTGGTACACATTCCTGTATGGTGATCGAATGAATGGAGCTGATGTTACCTTGAGCAGGTCTTCAGGATACGCGTAGCCGTAATGCCTAGGTCTAAAAATAATATTATAATATTATATATATTATTATTTATAGTAGGTATGTATAAAACAAATAATTTATTATAATTTAGCATTATTTAAAGTATCTAAGTAAAGTAAATTTTTTTTTTTTAATTTTTTTACACACAAACTTTACATTCCCTAATTATTATTATATTTATTTATTAACTTACTTATAAATTATAGGTCGGCCTAATCCAAACATATGACGCTTTTCATAATTAAATGTTTGTTCCAGGCCTTGACAATGTTCAAAAATAACCATATGGAATATAAATACCAAGATCATTACGCTAAAACATAATTACTGTTCAAAATAATTTTTAACTTTATGCGCACGCGCATTGTGGTATTATAACCAAACAATGCGGTACCTGTAACATTTTATAACCCTGCGGTTATTGTTTCATGTTTTTACTATCGTATATCGATGTAACTACGGCTTTCTGTAAGCTATTTCAAGGTTCGTGACAAATTGTAATTACAAAATTAAAAATTCAAATTGAATTGAAAATTATATTTTAATTGTAAACTAGCTTAACTAGATATAAAGTTTTATTTTAAATTACTTATTTATGCTTTATAAAATCCTTTAGCTTCAAGGCCATAGCAACAAATCCAAAGTTTTTATTAAGAAAAATAAATTCAGTGCAGTATATCATTATTTTTTGTCATGGACACAAATTATCCTTGATCCCATTAATATTAAAAATATGAAAGTTTGGATGGATGTTTGTGACTCGATCACGCCAGAACGGCTGAACGGATGTAGATGAAAGGTACAGAGATAGATCATTATACTCTGGAATAGCACTGTCACTTTTTACTCCTGAAAAATGTACCTACGGTTCCCGTGGGATAGATTTGTTTTTATTTTTCACTAGAGACGAACCCGAGTGAAGTGAGGATTAGTTACTAGTAACATTTTAAATACATCTATATTTCATATAAAGCGATTCATAAGTTGAAAAATCGACTTACTAATGAGGGCCACCGTTTTTGGTAGCACCATTTGGCGCCACGGGCGAGTAAGCTCCTATCGTTTTCATTGCTACAGTATTTGCTAGTGCGACAGGCCAATAAGTTTATTATAATAATTAGTATAATAATTGTTTGTGCGAAAAACAATTCAATTAGGATTTTAAAGAATTAATCATATCAAAATAAATAAAATATTGACTTTTTCTTAACTCCTCTTTTAAGGAATTAGGATTAAGAAATAAGGAATAACATTTGTTGACCGGTACCGTGTCAGCCATAATTAATCAGGAATGACACAATACTTATTTATTTAAAAAAGTACACAGTAGTAGTAACAACACACATATTAAAATATTTATATATATTTAGAAGACAATAATACCTATTATTATTATACACTAGCGGCTCACCCTCGCTTCGCTCGGGTTCGCCTCTAGAAAAACACCAATACAGATCTGTTAGTTTCCACGAGAACCGTTCATTCTTCCAGGATGAAAAGTAACCTGTTGTTTGACCGGCAATATATGGTATCAGAATGTTAAATTTTACTAAATTAGCTGCATAAGTTGTTGTGTACTAGGCTGTATAAGATACTATAGTTTTTTAACTATCCCTCTGGAACTCTTTAATTTTCTGGGATGAAAAGTATCTAAGATGTTGACCGGGGATATAATGCATCACCATGCAAAATTTCATTTAAATCGGTTCAATAGATTCGGAGATTAGCCCGTATAAACAGACAAACAGACAGAAACAAAAAATTTGAAAAAAAAACTGGATTTGTTCTATTTGTCGTCTGACATCCCCCTGAGTCGACTTTTAGTATTTTTTTTCTATGTACAGACATTCGACCTCTACTGTTTTATTATAGTATAGATTAATGGAAAATACCAAGCGTTAATCTATACATATAAAAGAAAGTCGTGTTAGTTACACTATTTATAACTCCAGAACGGCTGAACCGATTTGGCTGAAAATTGGCGGGGAGGTAGCTTAGAACCCAGTGACGGACATAGGATATTTACTTTTTATCCCGTTCGACTGCGTTCCCGTGTGATATTGTTTGTCTGTTTGTCTGTTTGTACGGGCTAATCTCCGAATCTATTAGACCGATTTAAATGAAATTCTGCATGGTGGTACCTTATATCCCCGGACAACGTCTTATATATTTTTTATCCCGGAAAATATAATGGTTCCCGTGGGATAGTTAAAAAACTTTTATAACTTATACAACTTATGCACCTAATTTAGTAAAATTTAACATTCTGATACCTTATATTGCCGGTCAAACAACCGGTTACTTTTCATACGGGAAAAATGAACGGTTCCCGTGGGAACTAATAGATTTTTATTAGTGTTTTTCTAGAGGCGAACCCGAGCGAAGCGAGGGTGAGCCGCTAGTTTAGTATGTTTATGTTACTTTATGACAATCAAGTAAATTACTTGTTCCATAAGTTTCATCGCAAAAATTGATATCCAAGAATTATTATAATTAAATGGGTAGGTATTTAAAAATATTAAAAAGTATTTTCTGGTTACAAAATTAATAGTTATTTTGCTTAAAAAACCTTTAGGTGACAAATTTCCCTTAAATGTAGAAACAAAACGTGAAAAGTTTGACATTGACCGTGACATTTTTCAAATATATTGACATCGATTTGTCGGAATTCTGCATCTCACATCTGTCAATTAATATTTTTTTCGGGGAAGGCGAGTGTCTGAATATAAGTGAAAATTGACAACAAATGTAAATTATGTACAAAATAAAATTGTTGTGCCTGTAATAAACAATTCCCGTAATTTAGAATCTTTAAATAAAACATTACATTCCATATTACTTACAAACCATTAATTCATCTCAACATGGACGGTAAATGTATTTATGTTTAATGGCTTTCTTTTGAAACAAAATCTAAAAATTATGTATTTACTAAAATTAATATTAAACTCCAGGACCATCAGCAAAAAAATCTACATCTTTTGAGAGCTTAGTGATTCAAAACATTGAAAACGTGAATGATTTAAAAGCAAAACTGAATGAAATTATTTCGTCTGGGAAAGATTACGAATACGACGTCTCATCTTGTCTTAAAGCTTTATTGAAAAGCAGTGACCAAGCTATAGTGTTACTTGCTGTACAAGCAATATCAGAAGTTGTGAAATGTGAGATTAAGAGAGAAACTTACGCACAGAGAGATATTATTGAGCCTATTTTGTCTTTGTTAAATAAGGAAATAACAATAGAAAAGATAGATCTAGTAAAACAGTGCTGTAGAGCCTTGGGTAATTTGTGCTGTGATTGTGACACATCTAGGAAGTTATTGCTTGAGATTAACGGTGTAGAAATACTTCATAAAATATTGGAGATGAGTATAAAAGACAAAATGTCTTTGGATGAAATAAAGTTACTTACATGTAAAACATTGTTGAATTATGCTATTGGGGGTCAAGAATTTTCTGATTCATTAGTCAAAGATGATATAATAAAATGTGTGAAGCAAATATTGTGTTCTGAATCAGAAAAAGAGTACATGGAAGATGATTTAGTTTGCACTGCATTATTAATGTTAAGTGTAATTAATGATAATGATGCAGAGTTGTTGTATGAATCTGATGTGAATCTTGCAGTACTTCATGTATTGAAGGAAACAGCTAGTGTTGAAGTTTCTGAGTTATGCTTAGAACATTTGCACACTCAAGCTGAACATGGTCAGTACATTATAATTAAAATATGAATAAAATAATTCTAATCCTTGTATGTTTAATGTAGAAAACTGATAAAAATCTGAAGAGTAATATCTAATTACAACATTTTCAATTATTTTTACAGATTCAGTTAAAACTCTATTGGCAAAAGAAGGTGGAGTCAATTTAGTTTGCCTCCGTTTAGAGCAATTAGTGCAGAGAAATGACGAAGGAGATATGAACACAGATGATAGTGAAGTGATGGCTGTGATGAAGCAAGCTTGTGACCTTGTGATTATAGTGCTGACTGGTGGTAAGCAAGTGGTAAAATTTGTATTATAAATACATCAATTTTTGGAATTTTTCAATTAGTAGCAAGAAAAATTAAATTATGTTACTCTCATTTTTTAAATATTTAACTTACTTTTTAACATGCAGTAAAGATTTCTCAGAGATGAGATATTTTCCTGCAGTAAAAAGTATATGTTGACCCATATAACCAGCTATCATCATACCAAACATCAAAATCTGTCTTGTGATGTGTTTACAGACAAACAAAAATTCTAAAACCTAAAGTTCGGCCTCTGTATCGATAATAATGACTATTTCAATAAGTTTTTCCAAAAAATATTCAATGTACAGATTCAACTAAATTTTCAACCGACTTCAAAAAGGAGGAGGTTCTCAATTCGACTGTATGTTTTTTTTTTTTTTTTTTTTTTTTTTATGTTTGTTACCTCAGAACTCCGTCATTTATTAACCGATTTGGACAATTTTTGTTTTGTTTGAAAGGGTATACTTCCAGATTGGTCCCATTTAAATTTCAAAAAAAAATACCACCCCTAAGGGTGGAAAAACAACGAATGATGAATTTAACCTACTTCTAATTGTCTTATTGACTTGAAACTTTGCAAGTATTTCTATTTCCGTTAATAGTACAGTGGTTCAGTGTTGTTGACCTGATCTGATGGCAAGGCCAGAAGGTGGTTAGGTGGAACTCTTCAACGGCTAATAGTAGTAATTTAATTATATGTATAGATGAAAGAATAGACTCCAAAAAAGATATATTATTGTTTTAAAAAATATTATAAGCGAAAGGAAAAGAAATAATGCACCCATAAATCAAATTTGTATAATTTTACTGATTATTGAAAAATTTGCAATCAGATGATGGGTTTGTAGTGTACTATCATGGATAAAAAATGTTAAAATCAAAGAATTTGTTTTATTCAAATGCAGGATGAATTTTACAATATTTATGATATGTAAATTTGCACATATTTATAAAATAGAACAGTTTAACTATTTGCGAATCAACAACATCTATTTATTCAAGTAAACAAAAATAGTCGAATTAGCACTGTTCAATTTCTTTGTATGGGATGAGACATTTGTACTTCTATGGTATTATGTGATCTGTGCTGGTATATAATCTGCTCACCACAAAACCCCTGTTTATATAAAAATATTAGTTTAAAATAAAAATTTAGTGTTAACCATAATATTTTCAGATGAGGCAATGGATATCTTGTATAAGAATGGTGTAGGCGAAGTGTATTTGACTATGGTGAAGTGGCTGGACTCGACCAACTACCAGTTGCTGGCTACTGCCGTGTTGGCTATAGGGAATTTTGCAAGGCGAGACGATTATTGTACTCAGATGATGGAGAATAAAATATTTGATAAATTGCTTGGTAATTTTTTTGTTCATGCTTAATTTCACTACTATTATAAAGAGATAAGATTAGATTTTTGTATGTTTGTAACGAATAAACTCAAACTACTGGACTGATTTGGATCAAATTTGGTAATAAGATAGTTTGAGACTGGAAAGGATATAGGATATTTTTTATTTCGGAAATCATCTCTTAAGGGGGTGAAAATGGGCATGAAAGTTTGTATTGGAAAACAACCCAGAGATGAATCCGAGCGAAGCTAGGGTGGTGAATCGTTAGTAACTTATAAGTTCTTATCTTATACTGGTATAAATAATTAGTTTAGAAATATGTAACTTAAGCTTTTATATATTACGTATCAGCCCTTTTTAACGTCCCACTGCTGGGTGTGGGCCTGTGTTTAATACAAGGGGTATTAGGCCATAGTCCAAGTTAAACTTAACTTAATGAGAAATTTAATCATATTATTTATAAAATATTTATTTAAAGTTAAGCTGGTTGATTTTTTATTAGTCAGTGAATTAGTGATTCTTTACTTTATTTGTTCTTTTAGTTTACATTTTGAATCATAAAATTTTTATATCATAGCCAAACTCTAACAAATGTGATTTTTGGAGTAAAACCCGCCCAAAATTTTTTTAGATACTAGCACTTTCGAAAATAACTATTTTTTTAATATGGAAATTCATTTATGTCATATTACAGATATATTTGAACTATATCATGGCTTCAGTGTTAGAATGCAGAGAAATGAGGACCAAATACATCCTATCGATAAAGGAACTGTTACAAAGATCCAGCATGCCTCGCTATCTGCCTTGAGAAACCTCACAGTTCCCGCTGCAAATAAGAGGATAGCTGCAGCACAAGGGAGGGCTGCACCGATTTTGATAAACGCTCTACCCAATGTGGATGATCACCATGTAGCGTACAAGCTACTGGCGGCCATTCGGATGCTATTGGATGGACAAGGTGGGATTTTTTTATTAATATAAATCTATACACATAATAAAATTCTAAGTCAAATCTGTACATAAAATATTTTTTGGAAAATCTTATTGAAACTGACATTATCGATACAGAGGCCGAATCTATAGTTTTTAGAATTTTTGTCGGTCTATCTGTCTGTTACCGCATCACAGAAAAAGTATTTGTTTGGTGGTGGTGGAGTGTTGATAATCGCAAATAAAAGAATATGTTACGTCACTGATGAAAGTGTAATAATAAAGTCAACTCACACGTAAAAACAGTACAGAAGGAACGTTTAGGGAAATACACTATGACAAAGAGTTACAGTACAAACATATAAAGTCCACATACAATATCTCACGAAAACGATTAAATTATATAAAGACAAGTAATTAGCATCGAACGGCAAAGCATCGACTGCTTGTTAGGAAAAATGTTCTTAGTGGTCGGTAGAAGTAAAACAAATTCCGATCCACTATATACTACCGGTTTCGCGCGGCTATGCTTGTCGATTTAATGTATATGAATAAATATTATTAAATAAATATAAATAATTATATAAACGTGTTGTATGTGTGTATGTAGGTGAGTAGATAATATAAATACGTAAATTAAATATTTAATAAAATATAAATATAAAGAAATGTGAAGTTTAATATATAAATATGAGAAATTAAATAAACTATAGTATAAGTCACCTACATCACTCCCCTCCAGAGGCCGTGTCTACGGACGATAAAAATCTGGGAAGTGTACTCTGCGTCCCGAACGTGTCGTTTTTACGGGACATTCCTTAGCAGGAGAAATATTGTCCTGTCGGGGTGAGGATGGTTCAGAGGACAGTATATAGGCCGGTTTGAGGCGGTCTATGGATACTGTCTCATCTTTATTTCCTACGCGTATAATAAAGGTTTTTGCACCTCTCTTGAGCACTTCGTATAGCCCAGTGTAAGCGGGCTGAAATGAGCCACGTAGTACTTCATCTCTGAGGAATACGTGACTACAGTGGGCTAAGTCCTTAAATACGAAGGCTCTGCGAGATTTTGAGTGGTGCTGGGGTGGAACTGGACGTATGCTGTCGGCAAATGACTTCATACGGGCTGAGAAATCAGTGATGTCGGTGGTGTTTTTAGCGATGTCGTGGCCTAAAAATTCGCCAGGTAGGCGCAGTGGCTCACCATACACCAACTCAACTGATGAAGCCTGGAGGTCTTCTTTGAAGGCACTCCTGATGCCGAGAAGCACGAGTGGTAGTGACTCGGTCCAGTTCGCGTCAGCGTGACAGGTAATTGCTGCCTTCAACTGCCTGTGGAATCGCTCAACCAAACCGTTGCACTGTGGGTGGTAAGCTGTCGTCCTACGGTGATCAAAACCGATGGATTTGGACAGCTGTTGAAATAAGGCCGATTGGAATTGCCTGCCTCGATCGGTTACGATCTCGGTAGGACAACCATATCGGGCCACCCAACAGGAAATGAACGCTTTGGCCACTGTCTCGGCGGTGATGTCTGTAATCGGCACAGCTTCCGGCCATCGCGTAAAGCGATCGACAGCTGTGAGACAATACCGATAATCACCAGCAGGCGGTAGTGGGCCGATCAGGTCTATATGGACGTGTTTGAAACGCGCTGAAGGTAAATCGTGCGTACCTAAAGGTGAGGCAACGTGTCTAGTTACCTTCGAGCGCTGGCAAGACAAACACGCCTTAGCCCATTCACGGCAGTTTTTCCGCATCAGTGGCCAGACGAAGCGTTGGGAAACGAGTTTGGCTGTGGCATTGGCGCCAGGATGGCTGAGTGAGTGAAGACAGTTAAATACCTGCTGACGCAGTTGTTTGGGAACGAAAGGTCTGGGTGTCGCTGTACTGACGTCGCAGTACAAGACAGTACGACTCCCAGGTATGGTCGTTCTAGTGAGGCGAAGAGAAGAATCGTCTTTAAGATGTTCTGCCAGCTCTGGATCTGTGGCTTGGAGCTTGGCCATCACTTCAAGGTCGACTGGCATCTGCAGTTCATCAACGCGCGACAAAGTGTCGGCGACCAGATTGTCTTTGCCGGCAATATGGACGATGTCGGTGGTGAACTGCGAGATAAAGTCGAGGTGTCTATACTGACGTGGCGAACAGTTACTTTTCCGTTCATGGAAAGCGTAACATATTGGCCTATGGTCAGTATAGACTGTGAAGTGAGTGGCTTCTAGCATGTGCCGAAAATATTTTATGCTCTCATAAATAGCAAGGAGCTCTCTATCGTACGGAGAATATTTCACCTGCGATGGGCTCAACTTGCGAGAGAAAAATGCTAACGGCTGCCAGGCTCCATCCTTCAGCTGCTGCAAGACTGCACCTATCGCCGTATCAGAGGCGTCAGTGACCAGTCCTAGCTTAGCCTGTGAGTCTGGATGGGCTACGAGCGCAGCATCACAAAGACTCTTCTTGCAAGCCTCAAATGCACGCAGTGAATCCCCCTCTATGACGACTGGATGGGAAGCTTTGACCGATCCGGTCAGCAAGGCATTTAATGGCGCTTGAATTTGAGCGGCGTTAGGCAAAAATCGCCTGTAAAAATTCACCATCCCCAAAAATCGTCGGAGTTCTCGGACGGTTTTTGGAGGTGGGAACTGTGATATGGCCTGTACCTTGCTGTCCAGAGGTTTAGTGCCCTTTTCAGAGATTTGATACCCTAGAAACGTAACTTCAGACGCGCCGAAAACACATTTGGCGGTGTTAACAAGTACGCCATAATTGCGCATACGCTCGAAAAGTTGACGTAGGTGGTCTTCGTGCTCGCGTGCAGTTTTACTAAATATTAAAAAATCATCTAAGTACGGGTAACAAAAATCGAGTCCGCGAGTTAACTCGTCTACAAATCTCTGAAAAGTTTGACCGGCGTTCCTAAGTCCAAATGTCATAAAGGGAAATTCGTATAGACCGAAAGGTGTGGTAATCGCGGTCTTGGGAATATCATCCTCGGCGACAGGGATTTGGTTGTAGGCCTTAACCAAATCTATAACTGAAAATACCGTACAACCAGACAAATTATGCGAAAAATCGTGAATATGACGAATTGGGTACTGGTCGGGTATTGTTCGCGCGTTAAGTTGGCGATAATCGCCGCAAGGGCGCCAGCCGTTGTCTTTTTTAGAGACTAGGTGGAGAGGTGATGCCCACGGACTGTCAGACGGACGTGCGGTCCCATTCGCTAACATGACGTCGAATTCGTCTTTTGCAATTTTTAATTTGTCAGGGGCGAGGCGTCTAGGGGTGCATGATACAGGTGGACCTGGTGTAGTACGTATGTGGTGTGTAGTGTGATGCTTTGCGATTCCCGGAGTACCAGCAGGGCGTGTTATTTCCGGAAATTCGGCTAAAATTTTATGATAAACACTATCACCACCCGTTGTTACCTTAACACTAGATACATTATTACTTATATCTAAACATGCTACAGTGCTGACATTAGTTAGGCTATCGACGAGTTTTTGTTGGCTGACGTCGACGATGAGGCGATAATGCGATAGAAAATCTACACCTATAATAGCTTTTGTGACGTCAGCTACGACAAATTGCCACGGAAAGTTCCGACGTAAGCCTAAATTAAGATTTAGCTGTATGTAACCGTACGTATCAATAGCAGAACCATTGGCAGCACTGAGCTGATATGAGGTTTTACACCTGCGCTCACAAAGCGCGGAAAGTGGGTACACACAAATATCACTACCAGTGTCTATTAAATATGGTATATTGGTGCTGCGGTCCTTAATGAACAGACGACCCGTGCTGGAACTGTGGCAGTTGTTGGTGGTCATTACCAACTGCTCTGAGCGTTTGCGGGCTAAGCGGGATGTTGATCGCCCGCGTCGTCTTTCATCTTTGGGATGTACCGTCGGTCGCGAACGGCGTTGAGACTGCATAGCAAAAGCACTCACCTGCTTTGTCAGCTCTGATACCTGACGTGCTAGCTGATCAATCGGTGACACTGCTGCTGATGATGTTGTCACGGCCGCTTCAACGTGGTATGTTGGCGCCGCGATATCGTGGACACGGTCGGCCAGGTCAGCGAGTGCGTCCAGGGGTAGCGTCGCCTGCGATGCAAGAATCGACTGCATGGATATAGGCAGTCGGCTGGTCCAAATAGTTCTCACAAAATCCTCGGGTATCTCGGGTCCGGCAAGGTGTTGTAGGTGGCGCAGGAACTGTGATGGCTTACGAGTGTCGAGTTGCTCGTGCATCAACAGCTGCTTAACCTTATTGTCACGGGATGCTGATAGTCGCCTGATAAGCTCGTCCTTTAATCGTTGGTAGTCTGGGGGTCCGGTGAGAATGTCCTCAACCTCGGCAGCGTATTGTCTGTCGAGTGTAGTCAAAATGTGGTAGAATTTTGTTGAGTCGTCAGTCACACGCATAATCGCGAATTGTCCTTCAACCTGCGCGAACCATATCGCTGGTTTTTCAGGCCAAAACGGTGGTATCCTGATCTGGGGAGGTATCTGCGGCGGTGAAGCACATTTAATGGGCGTCGCCATCTTGGTGCGCGGTCGACGTTGACGCAAAGTAATATGACTCTGCGATTTTTCCGCCTCCGATCCGCTCGATCCCTGACTTGCTGAGTGCATGGATATTATTTTCCCTGGTGTTCTGTGCGGGGTCACCAGTTTGGTGGTGGTGGAGTGTTGATAATCGCAAATAAAAGAATATGTTACGTCACTGATGAAAGTGTAATAATAAAGTCAACTCACACGTAAAAACAGTACAGAAGGAACGTTTAGGGAAATACACTATGACACAAAGAGTTACAGTACAAACATATAAAGTCCACATACAATATCTCACGAAAACGATTAAATTATATAAAGACAAGTAATTAGCATCGAACGGCAAAGCATCGACTGCTTGTTAGGAAAAATGTTATTAGTGGTCGGTAGAAGTAAAACAAATTCCGATCCACTATATACTACCGGTTTCGCGCGGCTATGCTTGTCGATTTAATGTATATGAATAAATATTATTAAATAAATATAAATAATTATATAAACGTGTTGTATGTGTGTATGTAGGTGAGTAGATAATATAAATACGTAAATTAAATATTTAATAAAATATAAATATAAAGAAATGTGAAGTTTAATATATAAATATGAGAAATTAAATAAACTATAGTATAAGTCACCTACAATTTGAGGGATTTTGATGAAAGTTGGTATGGTTATAGCTGGTTATCAGGGTCAACATATATGATACTTTTTAACGCGGGAAAATATCTCATTTCTGAGAAAAAATACAAAAACTGGTTAGAATAAAACCACGATGATACTGCATATATTTTAGCAAGGTAACTTAATAAGGCAAAATCTATTATATTTTTAATCTTATCTTGAAAAAAAAATAACAATAGCGCTATTTTATTTGGTTTTTGGTCATCTGAAAGCGGGCGGAGCGGCGGGCAATGCTAGTATATTATATTTCTTTTTATTGTTATGAATAATTAAAGTTACTCGAGTTTTGTGGTTACATATTTCGGCAAAATGGATAGAGTTTAGAAGCATTTTAAAACTTGTCTTCTATATAACATATTAGTTAATAACTATGTACTAAGATTTTTTTTTTATAAATAAAATATAATGAAATCCTTTTACATAACATTAAATATGTATCAACTAACTAATAAAATGAATTATTGTGCAGTGCAGATGTTTTTCATATATTTTACGAAGGTAATTAAAATAAAATTGTTGACACTTCTTTACCGGTCAATGTTTGTTTATATTTGTAAGTTGTTTAAATACTCTTGTGAATAATTCGTATCTATTCGTCAATTAGGAAAAAAATATGTGTTTGTACCAACTACCAGTGGCGAAGGGTCCATACAAGATATCTTACAAGTGTTTTTTTTTTATAATTTACGTATATTTAATTTTTTAAATATACAAATGTTCTTTTGAAAATATATACATATATATAATAATAGCTTTATTTCTTTCTGCATTAAGTAATACATATATATAAAATTTGTATATTTTTGGAACGGCTTACCTTTACTAAAATTTCACCCTTCGCCACTGATGTGTACTTAAGTACGCACGTAAGAAGTTATACTTCTTTGTCTTACTCGTGTGTTGCGTATTTAAAAAAAAAAGATAAAAAAAAGAATGAATTTCCGGATAAGTAACGTATGTACGTGTCAGAGGGCGTGGCGCGGCAGCTGTGCGCGCACGCGGGCGCGCTGGCGGGCGCGGCGCGCTGGGGCGGGGCGGGGCACGCGGGCGCGGCGGGCGAGGCGCCGCGCCTGCTGGCGTGGACCGCGCGCCGTCTGCCCGCCGGCTGCCGCGCGCTCGTGCAGGTAAGCGCCCGTCTTGTTTTAAAGGCTTTTATTTAACTTACATTGTTTGTTCGGGTCGAATCTTGTAATTGAATTTTAAAGCAGTTATCGTCTACTGATTGAGCTGAAATTTTGCATTCACGTTTAGTTCGATGACAATGCATGGTTATGGTTAGATAAGTGACGTCACTTTAAATTCAATATGGTGCACTCCCAAAGATGGCTATGTTTTTTCATGCGCCCCCAATGATATGGATATGGAATGAAGGCGGTTGCTGAGAAAAATACGAAAAGACATGATATGATTTTTTTATAATTAAATTAAATATAATTTATAAGATATATTAAATATTAATAATATTTTAATTTAATTAATAAATTTAAATATTTTAAATTATCATACATTCTGTTTCTTGTAGGAGTTAACTCCAGTCGTGCATCAAAGCTGACATACACACTTTTATTTTTAATGTCAATTAAGTTCACTCCAAAATAATATACAAAAACTCCCGCCATGCCTTTTCAATTATAATATCAGTATGATTTTTTTTTACTATTACTGTTTCCTTTATATTTAGCGCATGGCATCCTTTGGACATTGGTTGCGAGAGACTCTTCCAATTTATTAAAAATGCGAAATGCGTGTTTAATATAAATTGTACAATCATTTTTTTTAAGTCTTATTTGTTATTTTAATTCTATTCGTTTCTCAATAGCATAAGGTTTTTTTTTTGTATTTTTAAGAATAAAAAAAAAACTATTATTACATAGCAAATCATGACAGGGGGTCATTGGCAATGCATAAAAATTTAATTAAATTTGAATAAATTGTAAACATAAATTCCAGGTAGAAGGCTGCGTCTCCAGCCTAGTCAACATGTTAGTTGCGTCTCACTCTGTTATGCAGAACGAGGCTATTCTCGCTCTCACTCTTCTCGCAATACACGAACAACTCTCAGACAAACTTGTCTCCCAACTGCTCTCCTCAGAAATAGGTAAGCATATATCAGTTCTTATAGAGACAAACTGCGCCAAAATGCCGGTGGAAGTTGCGGAAAATTTACTAGCTTTTCTGGATATAACCTGCAAGAATAATACGATCGTTTGCGATTATAAAGAGGCGAAGGTAAATGAAGCTTTGCAGAAGTTTGTGAGAGCAAGGATTAATCTGAGCAACGAAATGAAATTGTGTATTAATAATATTATTTCTATTATTGATGATAAAAGAGCATAAAGTAAAACTGTTTTTTTTTTAATTTAGTGTTTTTGATTCTTAGCAACTGTCACGTATTGGTTATGGTATTCTATTTTATGTATGTAAAAATTAATCGTGCCATATATTATGGGTGTACTAAGGTTTAAAAAGTTTTTTTTTTCATTTAATAATGGTTTTCCTTCAAAAACTGGCCAAATGTGAATTACTTTTTTACTAGCACAATATAACAATTGTATTTTAAGTAGAAGCTGTAGCTCGTCTAGTCATATATGTAGGTTTATGTTAAACTCGTATTTAAACTATGAAATCTGTTAAGAATTACCGCACACTACATTTTTTTATTAAATATTAAAATTATAGAAAATACAAAAAGTGACATTTGACAAAATATATCTTCTAAGAGTCAATAAAAAATAATATCTCGATGAGACTCGATAAAATATATTATTTTTTTAACTGCCTCGGTGGTGTAGTGGCTAACATGTACGGCATCACCAGGAGGTCCTAGGTTCGAGTCCCCGGTCGGGCCAAGTTAAGTTATTGAGTCTTTCTGTATAGTAAGTCTCAGTAACAGCCCGGAGTTGGGAAGTTGACGGTGTTTCACCCCCGTGCCTCGGAGAGCACGTAAAGCCGTCGGTACTGCGACTTAACTCTATCCGGTCGTGTCGAGTGGTCGTCCCACCGGAGTATGAGAGTGACAGGAATAGAGAGTGCACCAAAAATCCAAATCCACCCCGTATGGTAATAACATTAGTCGTTCACTAATATATTTTTTTGTGTCAATACCGTCTGTGAGTATCGTTTATTATTATTTTTGACATGTAGAATGGACTGAGCAATACTATGAAATTGACCAATACTTATATGAAATTGAGCAATACTAAGAAAGCGAACATGCTGCCGCATTGGCTGTCTTTTATTCCAATTTGAATTTATAAAGAGAATGTAGGACATTATAATACTGTAATGGTATGGTATGTCAAATGGTTATAAATATCTTCATTAATAGTATTTCAATGAATATAGAACTTCTGACCGCACATTCGTATCGTCTCTGTCGCACCTGTCCGCCATGTTCAGCTGACGGCTGGCAAAGAAACACTAAAGTCCACTCTTTATGCCACAAAAAAATCTAATTACTACGTATATGCTTACTTAAATCGATACATTTGAAAAAAATCGTACAAGTATGCCATTTGAGATATGTTTTGTCAGATGTGTCAATCCAGATAAAAATTATTTGATTTATTTTGTCTTTCTATAATATTGATATCACGATTGTATCTATATTAAAAAAAATATATATTTTGCTAAGCAACTTCAAACGAGTTTATAGATTTATAAATAAGTTATTTTTAATTCAACTTATGAGAAACACCTTAAGTTATTTCAAAAAAAATACAATTTCTAAAACATTGGCTATGCCAATAGATACATGTTTAACCATTTCAAAAAATCACTCTAGCGTGTATTGCAATGGGCTTAATTATTTATAATCTTATATTTGTAAGACACCAAAGCAAAAATGGCCTAACTCACACCTTTCAAATGTTTTTGAAGTAAAAAAAAAAAAATTTTTTTTAATATAATAACCAATACAAAACTTTACATAAAATATGTACTTACATACATATATGTAAATTGACATGACTTTATAAATATATATGTGTATAATACCTTATTTTTTGTTCACGAATAGTAGTTAAAGGTTAGGCCACTTTTGCATTAACGGTTTCGTGTTGTTATTTAATATTAAATATGCACTTATATTTTTAATATTTCTTACTATATTTTAGGATAAATATTTCGAAACTTCTCTATGTATAAATACTAAGTACGTGTAAAACTATTGCATTTACAACAATTAAGTGTACATTCCCGCCTTTCTATTAATGTGTGTCAAATATTACTTATATTAGCTTATTTAGTAGTTTTCGTAGTTTTTAACGACTTTGTACTCTTGATACGAGTTTTAATGACATTCAACACCATGAATTTTGTACTATCTCGCTCGTATGAAGGAGAAATTTAAACGTTAGGTTATCTTGATTTTTGCATATTACGTAAGTACTTATTTTATTTCACAGCCAAATATTGAAATTTTCAAAGTTTACATAATATCCGAGGTTTTCTGGCTGAATAATTAACTACAAAAAACACTACTCGAACTATAATTATTGATTGATATTTCATATTAAAAAAAAATATTTTATACTTCGTATACTTCAACTAAAGTTCTTACTATTATAAATATATAATAACCTTATGATATAAAAAGACCGTGGTTATATTTTCCCTTCTTGCTTTCTAGATATAGTATATAATTACTCAACGCTGTAATATTTTTATACATCAATTATATATTGGATGGTAACATTCAGTTGTAGGATATTTTATAAGCTTAATATTTATAAAAACCCCAAAGCCTTTAATATGGAATTGAAATACTGATAGTAGAAGTAAAAGGTTAAAATGTTATACAATTATTAAATTGAATTGTGTATTACTGATTCTATTCGAATGTTAAGATTTTTAATATTAAAACATTACCGTTAATCTCATCCTTTAAAGCTAAATTCTTTAATAGATTGAGAATACAGATATGCAGTTTTAAAGTGCCGGCTCTAGGAGACAATCTAAATATCTAACTTTGTACGTTTTTAAAATAATCAAATTTATTGGAAAATAAGCAAATAATTAAAAATAATAATAATAATTGATGCAAAGTTATAAAGAAATTGTTTTAATATGTTAATCGTTATTCATCAATAGTGAGAACAAGAAAGCTACGAGATGTTTAAAAATATAAATTATCTATTGCTTCAGCCGGTACTGAATTAAAAATATAAATAAATACCATATAATAAAAATATAATATAAAGAAATACCTGAATATGACCTAATACTCTAAAGAAAATTGTTAGTGAAATAGAACATTTCCAGCTTTTCTTATCTACACTTAAATTGTATCGTAAAAAATTGTATTGATCTCGTATTTATCTATCTGTTTGATATTTTTTATCTGTTCTTTATATTATTTTTGTAATTTAAATGATCATTGATTTAAAAAAAAAAAAATTTTTGTCTTTTTTTCTTGTTTTATCTTTGGTACTTATAAAAATAATAAATACGAGGTCATTATAAGTATTCTAAATGTAAGAATCCGATAGTGCACTTATAAAAAAATTAAAGCTTGCCCTTAATCGATATATTAAACTGTTCGTTCGATTTAAAGAAATAATTTGTGAAAAACTAACTATCTTTTCGGATATTTTCGCAGATTTATTTTGATATTTGAGAATAGACTAAGGTTTTATAAACCTTAGTTTCTCCCGTGACCATGATTGCTGTTAAGCATTCGAAACGTCGGGAACCAAACATCAAAATAAATCCGCGACAAAATCCGGAACATGGTTATATTTAAAATGTCAAATATTCGCGTAAATCTAAGAAAGTATTAGAATACAATTTTAAAATCTGTACTACTAATATAGACATTACAAATATGAAAAAGAGATATAAGCAAAATATTCACCAGTTAAAGTTAGATATGAGTTGATATTATAAATCGACTCATAAGTAAAAAAATATGTATATTTTCCTTCCAACTTACATTCAAAATTTTTGTGGCTTCATGAAGCGCTTGATAGGGTGAGTCGAAATAATGTTAAAAGGGATCTCAAAAATAATATTTTTTTGTAATATAATAAGCATTTTGTAAACTTTTTAATAGTACATTAAATTTCATATATCTAATACTGATATATTTATCCGGTTTGGTACAAACGATTGCTTTATTTCTTGACACTCGGACTGTAGTGCTCTAGTGGGCATGTTCCCGTACAGATAAAGAATGGGAGTAAAAATGGTGGCTCATTAAATCGGTTCATCAAGGCTCACCGAACTTGGCCCCACAGTGTTTCTTTTTCTAATTTTTGAATTTTTATTTTCACTTATCGTTTGTTCGTGATTTTTCGCCATAAATAATTGTTTGTCTGTAAATTGTTTTTGTATAAATAAATATATATTTTTTTATTTTTATATATTATTTATAAGAACCCTCATTGAATAAAGTTTCATTTCATTTCAAAATAGCCTTCTCAATCGAAATTTATAATTTTTCTTGTTACTTTGTTTTTTTGTTCTAACGTCAAAGTGTGTCTAGAGCGATAAGGCCGCCTATTGTACTATTTCTCTGTAATCTGTTTCAACTATATAATGTAAAATAATGGTGTGCAATAAAGGATATTTCATTTCATTTCAAAGTGCTTATTTTTTTTATTTAATTAACTATTTTCATTTAGCTCAATTATTATTCAGATATATTTGTGTTGCTAATTAACTTTTCGCTATACTATTAAACTTTTTTTTTATATTGGCTATACTATTAACCTGGCTCAGGTTTGGTAAGACCATTAAGTTTTAGGATTATTGTCAGGATAAAAAATTGACAAAAAATATTTTCGCTAATGATTCAAAACGTGCCAATTAAGCACATATTTCGCCAATGTCATGTAGAATTGAGAAGAGCTAATGATATTATACGGTTTTTCCTTTTAAGCTATTGCATAGCTTCTATCGCGGGCCTTGAGCGTGGGGACCGAATCCAGAAATTCCGTAACGAAAAAAACCTGACACCCCACACTCCGACCGGCACAGCGGTGATACTTTTTAGTTTTTCCATCTATCGATAAATTCCAGAACTTTTAATGACTTTTTGAAATATCACGCTTGTCTCTTTAGTTCAGCAACCCACCTTTAGGTGGCATTGGTTGTATTGGAAAACTACCGTAATCAGCCGTTTGTGAGAAAGTATATAGGTGTATAGGTATTTATCATCTATGTACAACAGTGAATATCTGTACTCGTATAATTTGTGTACAAAGTGTTTTAAATATGAATAAACAATGTGCATTTATTAATGAAGAAAGTGAAGGAAAAAAATACTGCATTAATAAAATAAATAAATAATTATAATTGCATAAGTTGATAAAAAATGCTATGCAATAGCTTTACCGCGGCAGTCTCCGAGTGCCACATTTAATTTTTTTTTTAATAATCACGCAATTGGCAAATATCAAACTGTAAGTCTTCTCTAGTACAGAATTATTAATAATTATAAATTAAAAAAAACCCCCTACGCAAATTGTCATTTAACGATTACACTGGCACGCGTGAAGCACTTAATCGAGTAATCGTACGCCAAAATGCCTTACATCATTTCTGGAAAAGAGCTGATTCTCTTACACTGCTGGACTAATATTAACCACACTAAGAACTACCGCAAGGAAACTGGCTTTCAAATGAAAAAAACCGCATCGAAATCGGTCCATCCGTTTGAGAGGTACGATGCCACAGACAGACACACACAGACGGACATCGACGTCAAACTTATAACACCCCTCTTTTTGCGTCGGGGGCTAAAAAGCAATATAGCAGTATTAGATATACATGTGTGTACTTTAAAAAAATACAGATAAAATATACTTTTTGTGTCAAATAAGCTAAATATTGTAGTTATAAATTATAAGGTCTAACGTTCACGCTGTATCTGTAACAGAGGCACATACATTAAGCACGATTATGAAGTTCTTGTTAACGCACATTGTCTAATTACGGACCAAGTATTGTTAAAAGTTTGGATCCGTTGAAATGTTAATTATTATTATAGGTACTGTAAAATTAAGTAATTTTTTCCTTACTTATTTACTTTAATTTTATATATTTTTATTTACATTGTATAAAGTGGGAATTTAACTGGATTTATTTGAACATGTATGAAATTACGATTTTAGTCATTTATTTGTACATGATACATGTAAGAAAATTTAAAGTTGTTATAGCTATAGATTCCAGCTAAAATAAAATCAAAGCAAATTGATTGTGTTATTATTTCATATCTTTCAGACTGATTTTAAACACAGGCACAGCTATTCTCACTGAGACCAGTCGACTGTGCAGGAGTTGTATAGTGCACAGACAAAAGTGCATCTATTCCTGTCACTCTCACATTCCAGCGGGCAGCGGACCTTCAATTTGGGGAGCCCTAGGTTGACACTTCTTGGAGACCTAAACTAGTTTTCATTTTAACCCCCGACGCAAAAACGACGAGGTGTTATAAGTTTGACGTGTATGTGTGTGTGTGTGGCATCGTAGCTCCCGAACGAATGAACCGATTTTGATTTTGTTGTTTTTTGTTTGAAAGATGAATTAGCCGGGAGTGCTCTTAGCTATGTTTGATGAAAATCTGTCCAAGATGGTAGGGGTTTTTTTTAATTTTTAATTATCACTCGTGTCTTTATAATATCTACTAGCGACTCACCCTCGCTTCGCTCGGGTCACCCTCCCTGGCATGACACTCCGTACAAGCTTTCATCCCTATCTTTACAAAAAGTATCCTTTATCCTTCCCAGGGTCTCAAACTATCTTCTTACTAAATTTCATCTAAATCGGTTTAGTATATCCAGAGATATCCTCGGTTTTTTTTTCGATTTGGTTATGGAATAAGGCATCGAGATCCGGCCTGAGTTCGAATCAAAAACAAAATCGAATTCGAATCAGCCCCAGGACACGTCCTATGTCTTAAGCACGGGGATGAAACATCACCAAATTCAACACTCAAAATTTCGTAGCAGAAAAACTCACTGTCGCCAATTTCCCGATTCCGGGCTGTTACTAAAATCACCAGTAAAACTCAATAATTAAACTTAGCCCAACCCGAGACTCAAACCTAGAACATCCGGATCTGCAGCCATATAATAACCACAAAATGAAGAGACAAACGAAGCAGTCAAATAAGACACAATAGGTATATAAAAATACATTTATAATAAAAATATGTATAACAATCATATTTCTATAGTACTTTCATCATCATCGAACTCGGGTACTTCAACAGGTGTCATTACATTTTATTATAAACAGTTGTAGAATTCATCTCGACTGGCATTTCATGACAAACTAAACATTCTTTTGTTAAAAGTACTGCATTGCTACATCCCATATCTAAAACAAAAATAAATATATATATATTACTAGCGACTCACCCTCACTCCACTCGGATCTCTTTACATTTTAAAGTGAGTATAGATTTCTCAGATTAGATATTTTCCCGCAGTAAAAAGTATGCTATATGTTGACCCGGAATAACCAGCTATCATCATACCAAATTTAATTGAAATCTCATTATACATTCTTAGACAGAATGAAAAAAAATTATAAAAACTATAGATTCAGACTCTGTATCGATAATAAAGATTATTTCAATAAGATTTATCAAAAAATATTTCATGCACAGATTTGACTCCGAATTTTATTATATGTATAGATAGATATTATTATCCATATTCAGCTAGTGTTGTTGCATACCAAATGTTAATCAGGTGAAATTATTAAAATTCATTCAGACTACAAATTCTTTCACATCTCAATCATTCCATCCATCAGAAATAATTTTCCAGAGGACATAGTTTAATATTAAATCAAAATATAGTTTAATATTTTTTTTATTTAGCCTTTTTTAACATCCTACTGCTGGGCACGTGACTCCCTTCAATGTGAGAGGGGTCAGGCCATAGTCCACCACCCTAGCCTAGTACGGGCAGAATGATTTTTTGCCTCACAATGTTTTGTGATGGTAATCATGTTGGAAAATGATTTATTTACAATTGACAATATCTGAGGTAAGAGAGAGGCAGGATTTGAACTTGCTTCACTTGGTTTATCTACGTACTACTTACATGGACATTTAGCTCTGCTGTTGACTCCCATGTATTTTAATATACTTTTCTTGTCATACACATGCCCACAAAACGTGTTTTTCACAGGTATTTGAATCGGTTCTTTTGAATATGGATCAATCTGAAAATTTTCATTGTAAAAAAGATGTTTATTTAAAAAAACATGCTTTTTTATTTTTATGATTTTTCATTTCAGTATGTACAGTAAAATAAATTATATCTCCAGGTTTGAGTCTACATAACTTTTGGTCAATCAAATTTATTTTATGAGGAAACCTCTTCATTTTAAAAATGGTAATATAATCTGTGAATTTCAAATCTTAAAGCAATTGCCATTAAAAAGATAAACCCCTCTAAAACTTATAAAATACTACTTATAATAAAATGTATTACTTACTTGTTGTTGATTTGTGCATGTAATTACAAGTTCAGGGTCCTTCTGACTGGCTATAAAAATATGTCAGAATAGTAATATTTTCATAGTGAAAAAGAAAGAAAAATTTTATGATAAATATTGGGATTCAATGATTAATTTACCACTTGTATGTTTCAATTTCTTGAGCGGAATCCTAAATCTTTTTCTAGAATTAAAGTATCCTAAGTTACTCCTTATAAAATCAGCTAGACAGTGAAAGTCCTGTCAAAATCAATCCAGTTGTTTTGGAGATTATCCGAACAAACAAACAGACAAAAAAATTTAAATCGTGTTTTTCTTCTGAGTACTGTACAATTTCATATGCATTTAATACAAAGCTGTTATTTTGACATTACAAACAGACACTTTACTGTTTTTACACTGTTATACACAACTTCATGCTACATCTATTGCAAGGTAGATAAAGAGAACAAAATGCCAAATATAGTTAGTTACACTACATTTGTTTTAATGTTCCTGCCGAGATTATAGAACCTATAAGCTAATAGCTATCCTAAGTACAAAAATATTAATTATTTAATAACGTAAAACTTATACTTAATTACTCACAGGAAGCTTCTTTGTTTTTGATCTTGTTCAAAAAACTGGTCATATAATGATGATTACTGTGTTTAGAATTTGGCAGCCATTCTTCAACTTTTTTTTTGATATCATCGAAACTATCATCTTCCTGTTATAAAACTTAAAAAAGATTAGTACTTAAGTAATGGGTAAGCATATATTATATTTCCGTAAGTTCAAGCCATTTTCTAAATAAACTTACGCAAATAAGTCCCCCAGAACCTTTTGAAGATAGCTCGTCAAGAGAACAATAACCTTGTATGTATGACTTTAAGTTATCAAGTTCAATTTTTTTCTCATCACCATCCAAATATTTTAAAACATAATCTGTACATTCATATAAGCTTTGAACACATTGCTTCCTTAAACTTGCAAGTTCTTCAGCAGTCATATCCCAGTATATATTTGTATAATCCATGGCCATATCTTTTAGATCACAAAGTAGACGACTATGGTAAATGTAAAATAAAACTATTTTTTTAACTTCTATCTCCAATTGTAATTATACTTGTTTATCTATCCACTTCCAGTATCAACATTCAGTATCAACTATCAGCCACAGACCAGGAAAAACAAGACTAGAAATCTTCTTACTTCTATTTTCTAAATAGAAATAAAGAATAATAAAGAAAATAGAAATGATGTAGAAATCTTTTTTAAATATATTTCATTTGACAAGTGTCAACTGTGTGCACAGACTATTAAAATTAAGGCTGCCAGATAACAGTCGTTGATTTACCCGACCAATAAACCTTAAAATACCCGGTTTATCCTGCCGACGTCAACCATGAGCAGAATACCCGAAAATAGTTATTTTTAAGTAATTTATTCATATCTTATATAGAATAAAAGAAAGTACTAATGTTAGAAAAAGAAGTCATTGTAATCAGTTATCAATTAAACAGCATTAAATTATGAAATAAAACATAAAAAAATTAAAAACTTTCAATATCAAATTAATCAGCTAAACTAAAATACATGCTTTGACCCCGCTCAATGAAAATAGTAAATACCCGTCAAAATTATTCGCCATCATAAATCGCCTAAAATTACCCGCTTTTCGGGTAATTTACCCGCCAATTGGCAGCGCTAATTAAAATATAAATGAAATCACTTTTTATCAAACTATATAAAGACGCTAGGTACCTTTAGTTTATCAGACCAATCACCTTCGTGTCTTTTTAATTGACCATTCTATAATTGGCACACTTTTTAGCCATTATAATAACAAGAAAATTTAACTGTAAATCACTTTATATAAATTTGTTGTATTTTTAATTACATTTGGAAAAGGCAAAAATCATCTATACGAATATTCTAATAACGTGAAAGTTTGTGAGTATGGATGTTTGTTACTCTTTCACGCCAGAATGGCTGAACGGATCTGGGTGAAATTTGCGCAGAGATAGATTATAGTCTGGAATATTATTATTATTATTTATGTTGGGTGTGGTGCCGAGGTCGGCCCTAGCTACTAGTCTGGAATAACACAAAGTCTTAATCCCGGAAAAATGTACAGTTCCCGTGAACATATTTGTGTTACAAGAAATCAGATAGAAATATCTTAGTCATTTTTTCCTTTCTTATTTATTTTCTAGCGACTTACTCTCGCTTAATAGTCTATAGATGTATGGACTAAATTTTATCCAAATTCGTCAAGCTATTTCAGGGTGAAGAAGTAACAAATATGTACATCAAAAATTAAAATAAAATTTCTAAATAGATTGATTTATTTAGAGAATTAAATATTTATTTATATATTCATACAAATGAATTTTTAATTCATCAGTTACTTAGCTGCCATAAAATGAAAATTCTTTTAAAAAATCTCTTTTTATATAATTTTGCATTTAATAAAAAAAAAGCAATTGTGAATAATAATTTATTTATTCCACATATCATAAAATTATAATCTTTTAGTAAATACTGTAAATAAACAAATCGAATGAATAATGATAAAAGAAAATATTTCGTGTATGAAATAAAGCTATATGCACACGGGTTACACTATCCACAGTAAGTGTACATGTAAGTAATAGTGCCACAGAGTAGTTAAATGGATGTTAAACAGATATATTTATCTCTTTTTTACCATTCAACTGAGAAATGGCGCAGTTTGGTGAAATAGTTGATGTTCTCATATATTTACTATGCGTAATTCTCTTACACACCATATTATAACATAACAAGAAAAAAAACTAAGAATACATGGTTTGATATAAATAACGTATGATATATAAAAAAACAATATTTTTGACCTAATTTAACTTGAGATATGGATTTATATGTTTTTCTATACAATTGATACAGTTTTTAATTGTGACAAATATTTTTTTTTATTCTACGTTACGCCATTGCACTATTACGTTACTTAAGATTAATCTTAAATTACTCCCTAAACATATAAAATAAAAAAAATTACACATTTCCTGGGTGTCCAAGCAACACTCTATGCGCAGTAGAAACAAAAAAGACAACGAGAAGAAGCGAGACGGAGACATCGAGTGGGCGTGGACTACACAGTGACGCCCACGTGACCGAGCGCGGCGGACAGCTGCGTCAGTTGCGCGCGCAACGCGGCGGGGGTGAGACCTCGACGTGCTGCGATCACTTTGAACGCGTTCAAGTACTCCAGCTCGGAGAACTGCGGCCCCTTCTCCCTCACCGACTCTATGATCTCCTGGTACCGTTGGAATATAAGTCGAGTATTATACAGTACATATAGATATGAAAAGTTGACTTTTGCCAAAGTATCATATCATGATATCTGAGACTACATACTTATTTTATACTATTTTAAATAAAACTTTACCTAGAGACCTCTCTCCCATGACTATTGACCATGATTGCTGTGAATGAAGCATTCGAAACCTCTAGGGACTTACCTGAGCGAAATTTTCTTTTTAGTCTACATTCTATAGTCTATAGTATAGACTCTACACTGTAAGATTACAAAGAGAAAAATATTGTTTGTTTGATGTTTGTTTGTAATGGATAAACTAAAAATCCGCTGAACCGATTTAGATGAAATTTAATATGAAAACAGTTTGAGACCTTGGGAAGAACATAGGATAGTTTTTATCCCGGATTTAGTTTTTATCCTTTAAGGGGTGAAAATGGGACGAAAGTTTGTAATGGGGAATCAATAATTTCTCAAGTAAGGGATATAAAATTCATCATACTAATGTATATTGTATACATTATAATACATTATACATATATCTATTCCACGCTAATCGTTAAAACGTAACTAGAAACCCGAGCAAAGTCGAGGCGAGCGAAGCCGAGTGGCTAGTTTCTTTAACTAGTTGCTTTAGAGCGAGAAAGTACCTCGAAAGAGAGAGACAGATAGACAGAGTGTGAGTACCTCGGGCGTGCACGCGAGCAGGTGCAGATACGCGTGCGCGGCGTGCAGCCCGTCATGCGGCAGCGCCAGCGCGGCCAGGCAGTGCCGCAGCGCCGCCAGCCGCGCCGCCTCCGCGGCCCCCGGGGCCCCAGCGCCCGCGCTCCCCGGGGCCCCCGCGTCGCTCTGCCAGCGCCACACGACCGCTGACGACATCATCTCGCCGATGCCGCCCATTATATACTGTAATTATTTTTTTTTTATTATTTTTTTTAATAATTTTGCATTGGTTTAGGTCACAAAAAAATAGTATTCATGCTATTATTTCATGATATTATACAACAACTGTAGAAACATTATAATATGACTCGAGTTCGTAGTACAGATATAATAATAACAATTTTAGTAGTAGCTCGGAGTTGAGGAATTCACGGTTCGTATCTCAAAGAGGACATGTATACAGATACACGTACTGTGTATACATGTGTTCTTAATCATTTCTAATGTCCCGTTTAACGTTGAAACTATAGGAGCACATTCAAACAACTCGAAAATATATTAGAAGAATACGAGAAGGAACCCACTGTCGACGTCAGGTTTCGTATCGTAGACCCTATCGCTTTTAACATAAGGAGCTTTATTAAGATTATTATATCGAGCTATACACTCAATCGATTACACGTAGAGAATGGACTGAGCAATAGTGAGCAGAAAGAGAGAGAGCGAACGTGCGAGCAATATCTGTCCCAATTTGAATTAAATAATGGAATGTAAAAAAAAAGTTATAATTAATTAAACATTATAATATAATAGAATCTAAAATGGTTAAAATATCTATATATAAATTCTAATCTATATATAAATAAATAATAAACAAATATGTTGGGACATTAACACACAGCACCATCTAGTTCTATGGTAAGCTACGAGGCCTGTGTTATGGATACCAGATAGTTGATACACTACAGGTATATAACTTTAAATACATACGGATTATAAATATATACACCTAATAATGACTGGAGTACAAACATTCGACAAACACAAATATATAAAAAAACATAATAAAAACATCACACAAATGAACGCCCCCAGCGGGACTCGAACCCGCGACCGGTGACACAGTAAGTAGGGTCACTACAAACTGAGCCAAACGTGTCGTCGTTGTGTGATACTTTATTTTTGTAAAAACCTATGTTCAGTAACAGCATTCCAATGAGCACAGGCGACAGGGCCGCGCTGGGCGGCAAAAACGGAATTATTTAATTATATTATTATTCCGTTATATCTCAGGGGCCCCGCGGCGCACTGACCGCGAGCGCGGCGGGCGCCAGCAGCGGCGCGGCGCGCTCGTGCAGCGCCAGCAGGCGGCGCGCCAGGCGCGCGGCGCCGCCCTCGCCGCCCGCGCCGCCCTCGCCCTCCGAGCCGCGCTCTTCCTGCCCCAGGTAGTGGAAGCACTCGATGCGCACCTGCAATCACACATATATTTTATACTAGATGCTCACTCCCATCGCTAGGTACGTTTTAATTTTTTTGAGCGGAACCCTAATTCTTTTCCAAAATAAAAGTAACCTATGTTACTCCCTATAACATCAGCTATCTCCCAGTGAAAGTTCCCGTCAAAATCTGTTCAGTCGTTTCAGAGATTATCCGGAACAAACAGATAGACGGACAGAAATTAAAAAAAATGTGTTTTCCTTATAAGTACCGTATATAATTTCATATGCATTTAGTAAAATGCTGTTATTTTGACATTACAAACAGACACTTCAATTTTATTTATCTGTATAGATCCATGTTAGGTCCAAAGGTTGTTACCGATCACCTAAGCAATGTAATGCTTAGTAGGTGTGTAATAAATACATAGAAACACACCTAAAAAAGGCAGGCTGTATTCATTATCATTAATTAGCATCAATTATCAATATATCATCTTATTAAATCAATAAACTTTAAAAGGATCTCAAACTGCATTTAATTTAGCAAGGAATTAAGTGGTAGCTTCTAGCGTCTCTCTTCATATCGTCCCCTATAGCATTATTGCCAAAAACATTTTTGTAAATGATTATTATTTATGAATTTCTTTTTATTTAAATCATTTAGTTGTTGGTTACGTTTATTATTTATAGAATATAGTAGGACCGTCGGTGCAGAGTGAGAGCTTTGGCAAAATCGATAGTATTTAACTAAAATCTTTTTTAAAAATAGAAAGAGTGCACTGACTTCAAAATAACTTTAAAATAATCGTTTTTTTTTGAACAAAATTTAAATAAAACTTAGCAATTGTATGAAACCATATGTAAAAATCCTTTTCATTAAAAAAAAGAGACAAAAAAATACACAAAAGATTATATATTTTTTAAAATATAGTAATCTCATCCTACCTCCAAATGCAAGAAGAGCAGACACTTATTAGCTATCTCATCAAAGATGGCGGCGGCCGCAGAGATGTCAGCGTGGAACTTCTCGGGCGGCTTCAGCGCGCCGCCCAACATGGCGGGCAGCGTCTTGGTGTTCGCGCTCAGCCACGACTGCAACATGGCACACATCAATATAATAATTATTATTTATTATCCAATAAACGTTTTTACAAAATAATTTAAGCTAAATAAACAATATCGTTACTACACCTCCAGGTAAATTTCTAAGAAATTAATTAAATTTATAAGAAATCTATTGTTAACTGACACACCGGCGTGTCCGCGGTCGTGGAGGGATCAAGTGAATGAAGCATCATTAGCTGTATTAGGAAACCTGTATTTTAGCAGCGCCAAATTTCTCCAAAAAAATACATTGCTTGACATGCCAAAGTAATATTTAAAACAAAAATAAAAATAGTAACAAGTGATCGAAAATCAACCATAATTTCTTAAGTTTGATCGATATTGAGGTTCTATTCCCAATTTGACCACAGACTTTAACAATAAACAAAAAGTATATATGCATGTGTGTGTCAAATACATGGTAGTGTGTGTACGTATAATTTTTTTATTGATTTAATGTATTTTGTATGCATATTTTTTTTAAATATTAGCATTCTGCACTCCTTCTCTATATAAACTATAAGTGTGGGAAATTTCATACTCCTTCGTCCCCATAATTTTCGTATAATGGGGGTACAAAGCTTTTGCTTGACGTATTAATAATATATAGATGACCTCGAGACCGATTACGGCCACGGCGGCCAATCTCACTGAGACTAGCCAACTACAGGAGATATTATACATACATATATTTTTATTTAAATGTTGTGTACAGATATAATTGGACAACAAATCTAAAATGATAATTTTAGTTTTTAATATGTAGATTATTTTTTTTTTCTTTTTTTCTGTTTCTGTACCTAAATAAATAAAATAGTGTGGAGCAGCCCTTAAATCGCAAGACAGACTCGACACGTGCTCTCCGTGCCTTACCCAACTTCGAACTGATGCTGAGAAATGTTGGACAGAAATACTCAATAACTGAACTTGGCTCTACCCGGGACTCGAACCCAGGACCTCCGGAACTGCAGCCGTATATGCTAGCCACTAGACCACCGAGGCAGTTCACACTTCAATATGGACATGTCCACGTAAGTGAGCTCAAACATCCCGCTTCAGTCCGTGTTAGACCACACTCACCGTGCGTGACACATGTTGGTGATACTTTGTTTTTGTATAAATTAAGGACAAGCTATAACGGTCTGTAGATTTAAAACAAGGCGAATTGATGACGAATAAATAAACGAAAATATAGAGGAAATTAACTTGGCAAAAAGCCGTAATGCTTTTAAATTTGAAATTTATAACATTCATCGATTCAAAAAGTACTAGACACACAAGCAGCGACAAAAAATGTCCTCACCGAATGAGCGCTCATTTGAACATTTGAGCGCGCTTTTAATTTTTTTTTTGTGAAAACAACTTTAAGCATTGCATTTAGGGTTTAATTTACATTGTTGTGTATATATTTAAGTAGCATAATTACCTACATACAATTAGTGACAGTTTTTAGAGGACTTTTACATGGGATTGTGTATCTAGTACTTTTTGGCCGATGGTTACATTAAAACCCGTTGGGTAAAATGGGTACATTAAAATCATTCCATTACCCGCAAACTTGAAATATTCCTGAGATTTGTGAGCTTGGAATACCAAGACCCTCTATATATTCTATACTAAAAATCTCATAAAATTCAACTCCCTATCCCGCGGTTAAGGTATTATATAATATGACTTACCATACTCTCGCACATCAAAGCCAAGTCCACAAGAGTGTTTATGTCAGCAACGATTTCCCGCTTCGAAACTTCACCGTCCCCTAGACTAGTGCCTAGGGTCTCTGCCTCACGCTCGTACGCTTGTTTTAGTTCCTTTGAACAATAACATTAGGTATTAAAAAAATAAATAAAGAGTGCATGTATGAATGTGTACACGCGCAAGAAGTAAAACTTCTGTAGGTTATCGGTACTTTTAATGAAATTTAATGTTTTAAATAATTAAGATAGGTGAGATATTAAACCCCCCCAACGTGCGTTCACCTTGTCGTGGTGGGGGGGCTCAGTAGTGCCCAGGCAATACAGCCGGGCGCGAAGCCAAGAAACGCAAAGTGAGGTGGCCCACTTCGGTGGGCGGTGGGAGGCGGCCCTCTTCGGAGGGCGGTGTACCATGCGGGTTGCTCCTGGTACTTTTCTGATAGCAGAGTGGACCTTGGAGCAACCCCATGGTTGTGGTGGTCTGCTTCGGCAGACCTGCCGTCGGGGCGTCGTAGTTGAATGCGTAAGCGATCCTGCGACGCCCCATTAAGACGGGGGAAGTTTTTGTTGGGTTTTAGTGGGTAATACTGGCTTCGCCGGTGAGTCCCAAACTTCGTGCGTAAATGTATTTCCCAACGATAAAAAAAAGGTGAGATATTAAAAAAAACATATTAAGCATATTACAATCATATATTTATAGAATATCATTTAAGGAAATAATATAATATTATATATTATTTGTCAGACAATAACAACGGTTACCATGGCAACGAACGTACGTCCATTTTGTTCGTAATGCATTCACCAGCATACCCCCCAAGTCAAGCGTGCGTAAAGAAGTTTTACCTATTTCATTGTCTAGCCTGTGGTAACGTAGTACTATAGTAACCTGTGCCGTGAAGGGTTGCCGGTCGACGGCGGCGCGGTAGTTGGGCAGCGACTGCAGGAAGCGCACGATGTCGTCGTCGGCCAGCCAGCGGCGCGCGCGGGACGGCGGCGCCAGGCGCGCGTGCGCCGCGCCCGCCGCGGCCGCCGCCGCCGCCAGCGCCGCCGCCGCCGCGCGCAGCGCCGCCGCGCCCCCGCACGCGCCGCAGCGCCGCGCCGCGCTCGCCGCCGCGCGCGCCGCCTCCCACGCCTCGGCGCAGCACGCGAACACCGGACGATCGCCCACACTGCGAGTATCAGAACCGCGTCAACTCAAAGCACGGCTCGGAAACACGTTTAATTTTTGAACCAATTTCAGTCATTTATTCCAAACTGAAAAGCTTTTACGTCCTTTAATCGGCTATATCCCGAAGAACGGTTTTTGCAAACTTAGGTTCAATGATCATAATAAATCGGTTAAAATTAGCTTTTATGCGTTTACATTTGGTGAATATTTGCTAATGAAATAAATAAACACTTAATAGAAGGATACCTATACGTCTCTTATTTATAAACTAGCATTGCCCGCGGCTCTGCCTACGTTGAGATAACCAAAAACCAAATTCTTAGGTTTTACATATTAGTATACTTTTACATTGCAGTTTTTTGTATTTTTCCTCAAAAATGAGATATTTTCCCGCGGTAAAAAGTATCCTATATGTTGACTGGGACAACCAGGTATCATCATACCAAATTTCATCAAAATCCCTTCAGCGGTCTGTCCGTGATGCGGTAACAGACAGACAGACAAACAAAAATTCTAAAAACTATAGATTCGGCCTCTGTATCGATAATAATGTCTATTTCAATAAGATTTTTCAAAAAATATTTAATGTACAGATTCGGATTAGTTACAATTTTATTATATGTATAGATGAATAAACCGATTTATTTCAGTATCAAAACCTAGGTCTAAATTTTCTCTAAGAATACCGCCAACCATTACTATTTCGGTTTACTAAACCATTCGTTAATGAACGAGCAATGAATTAACCATAGCATTACCGATATAAACCGTTACCTTCAAACCGGTCTCTAGCTCCGGTACCAGGCGAGCAGCGTTGCCAATTGGCGGGTAAATTACCCGAAAAGCGGGTAATTTAACGCGATTTTTTATGGCGGGTAACTTTGACGGGTATTTGCATTTTAGTTTAGCTGGTTAATTTGATATTTGAAGCTTTTTTCTAATGTTTGATTTAATAATTTAAAGTTGTTTAATTGAGACCTGATTACAATGACTTCTATTTCTAAGATTAGTACCTTCTTTTATTTTATATTAAACATGAATAAATTACTTTAAAGAAAAAGGTTATTCTGATCATGGTCGGCGGTGGCGGGGGCGGTATAAACCGGGTATGTTGAGGTTTATTGGTGGGGTAAATCGGGAGTGTTGTCAGTGAGCACTCACGTGTGCGGCGGCGGCAGCGCGCGCTCGCGCCAGGCGGCGGGCGCGCGCACGGCGGCCAGCACGCGCGCGCGCGCCGCGCTCGCCAGCCGCTCGCTCTCGCCCCAGCGCACGTAGTCCGACACGAACGCGCGCAGCGAGCACTCGCCGCCGCTGCACATTCCGAACATTGTTACATTTTCATTACTATGAGTATGTACCTTCATATTTACAGAATTCTATAATTCTCATACACTGTTTAATATATATATATATTGAAAAATCGTGACGAATAAAGACATTCGTTTAGATTTACGTCTTATAAAACATAGAAGCAAATTATATGAAGTAGCTGTAGTGCACGCGTGATGTGACCAATTTAGAACCTAAGCGACAGATAAATATCGACTAATTTTAAATTGACTTTAAAAAACTTATTAATCATTTAATCTATAATGATAAAAAAAGATAAAAATAATAAAAAAAGACTTATATCAATTATAAAAAAATAGCCAACATAATTTACTAATATATATATATATATATATATATATATATATATATATATATATATATATATTATGACACTCAGAAAGAACGTGGCTTTCTATTGGTAAAAGAATTTTGAAAATCGGTTCAGTAGATCCAGAGATTACCCCCTACAACGTCACAAACTCACAAGATCACAAACTTTACCACTTTATAATATTAGTATAGATTATCATATTTACACACCCCGGCCTCTCCAGATGCGCGCAGAGCGCGTGCAGCGCGGGCAGCGCGGCGTGCAGCAGCGCGGGATGCGGCCGGCACACCAGCGGGTAGCGCTGGCGGCGGCCGGCGCCCTCCGCAGCGCCCGCCGCCGGCACCGGCGCCGACGCTGATATCGAGTTTATTTTTATGTCATCAAGTCTTGTTTATATTTTTATTTACATACTAGCGACTCATCCTCACTTCGCTCGGGTTCGTCCCTAGGTACGTTTTAATTTTTTTGAGCGGAACCTTAATCCTTTTTTTAAATAAAAGTAGCCTATGTTACTCCCTATAACATCAGCTACCTTCTAGTGAAAATCCCATCCAAATCAGTCCACCCGCTTCAGTAATTATCCGGAATAAACAGACAGACAAAAATTTCAAAATATAATATTATTATTATTATATTATAATGATACTTTGAAATGAACAAGTTGCTTAGGGCCACACAAGAAACACCATTTCTCCATTCTACCTAACATTAGCGTCAATCAAGTAATCTGTGCTCTAATGGCACGTTTTAAAGTAATTACAAGTATATTGAATTGAACAAACACCATGGTCGCAGCAACACACTACAATATTACCTATATTTAACGATACAAAGAGGCAGAGTTTGTTTGTTTGAACGCGCTAATCTCAGGAACCACTAGTCCGATTTGGAAAAATTCTTTTTGCATTAGATAGCCGATTTATTGAGAAAGTCTATAAGGCTATATATTATACTAGCATTGCCCGCGGCTCCGCCCGCGTTCAGATGACTAAAAACCAAATTCTTAGGTTTTACATATTAGTATACTCTTACAATGCAGTTTTTGTATTTTTTCTCAGAAATGAAATATTTTCCTGTGGTAAAAAGTATCCTATATGTTGACCCGGATAACCAGCTATCACCATACCAAATTTCATCAAAATCCCTCCAGTGGTTTTCTGTGATGCGATAACAGACAGACAGAAAGAAAGACAGACAGACAAAAATTCTAAAAACTATAGATTCGGCCTCTGTATAGATAATAATGTCTATTTTAATAAGATTCTCAAAAAATATTTAATGTACAGATTCGGCTTAGTTACAATTTTATTATATGTATAGATAATATAAAGTCTATCTATTCTATACTAACGGTTAAAACGCACCTAGGGACGAACCCGAGCGAAGCGAGAGTGAGTCGCTAATATGTATAGATAATAGATAATATAAATATGATATATCAATACATAGTTAAATGTTAAAATATTATACAGTAAAAATAAGCATGTAACTTCAGTTGGTTATCAAAATGAACGAATGAGTAAACAAAAGAACGAATGAATGTTATCAAGTTAAATAAGTGTTACGTATACTTAATTAAAATGAATGTAATGTAATAATTTTTTTATACTCTTTCTTTATTCTGCAATTATATAAATCGTGTTCATTGTATCGCTCTATATGTAATATATTATATTCATAATTTAATCTATAATCTATTTAATTTTTAATTAATTGTACTATTTTCGTGGTCGCAAAAATGTATTATTTGTATGTTATTATAGTATTGTATATATTTGTATTGTTCTTTTAGATATTAATGTTGTACTAATATAACAGCATGGTGTAATTACCTGTAATTAAAAGTGCAATCATCATGTTTTTATAGTAATGATTTTTTTTGATATCTAATTAATTCTAACATTTGTTGGTAATTCTAATAAATAATAAATAAGGTGTCACATATGACGTACCAGTGAGTTTAAACAGCTTGTCGCGTCGCCTCGCGGGGCGGCGCTTGGCGAAGTAGTCGGCGAGGCGCAGGTCGGGCGGCGGCGGCGCGCGCCGCGCCGACAGGCTCACGCTCTCGATCTCCAGGTACTCCGTCAGCAGCAGCTGCATCTGCTTGTACCATCACCGTCTTACACCACACTCTTCTATTCAACCCTTCCCCACTACTACGGGGCACGGGCCTCCCTTCAATGCGAGGGGGATCAGGCCATAGTCCACCACGCTGGCCGAGTGCGGGTTGGCGGATTTCACATGTCTTTCGAAAACTTGCTAGGTTCTCTCAGACATGTAGGTTTCCTCACGATGTATTCCTTCACCGTTAGGACAAGTGGTCATGTTGGAAATGATTCGCACGTGAAAATATCAGAGATGAAAGACCCGGGATTTGAACTCGCATCACTCAGTTTCCCAAGCGAGCGCATTACCACTGGGCTACCACTGCCTTTAATTGCATTAGATATTATTTAATGAACATTTTACATTGGTAATTTTTAAAAGAGTTAAAGAACAAAACAATATGTTACTGACCACCTGCTGCACCGCGCTCCAGTAGTGCTGCTCGGTGTGCAGGCCCTGCTCCGGCAGGCGGTGCCGCTGCAGCGCCGCGCGCCACAGCTGCAGCAGTCTGCGGCACGTGGCATCTTACTTTTCCCTCCATTTTTCTCAATTTTTATGCTAATTTATTTTTTATTTGTTGATCTACATCTTCTAATCCTTACCTTCTAATACCTTTTGTACCTACTTCTTATTTTAAATAACAAATAAATATATTGGGTAATGTCGCAATATATTTATTTATTTATTATTTACTTTTTATTTTTATTATTTATCATTTATTTATATGTATGTTTTATACACACAACACCATCTAGTTCCATTGTAAGCTACGAGGTCTGCATTATTAATACCAGATAGTTGATACACTACACATATATAACTTTAAATACATACATATAAATATAAACACCCATGACTGGAGTACAAACATCCGTGTTCATCACACAAATGAATGCCCCCAGCGGGACTCGAACCCGCGACCACTATAGCACAGCAAATAAGTTCACTAGAAACTGAACCAAATGCGTCGTCAAAATCTAAGAAGGTATTAAATACCTCTTATTCCTCATGCCACAAGCCTTGAACTCCTCGGCCAAGCAGTTGACCAGCCGCGCCAGGGGCCTGCCGGACTCCACCGCACACTCAGGGTCCGTCTCCGGAACCTCTGCATCTTCCTCTCCGTCTTCTTCTATGTCCACGTCGTCAATTATGCGACTGGACACTGAATCTATCACTTCGAGTAGTTCGTTTTGTATTTGGACTTTGAATTTCTGCAAATGAAGATGTGTGATGAATCATTTTAATGACTACTAGCGGATCACTCTCGCTACGCTCGGGTTCGTCGCTAGGTACGTTTTAAATAGATATGAATAGTTATTAGCCAGCGTTAGCCATATAAATTTTAATATTTTTTTTTCGTTGATTTTTCATTTTTCTTCTTTATTAAAACCTTCCGTGGACCTTAAGGAACATACGAAAAAAAAAATAGAAAAATTGATCCAGCCATTCTTGAGTTATGCGCTTACCAACATTCATTTTTATTTATATTGATTATACGACTAGTGTACGCGACGATAGAAGCATATCTGCACGTTATCCCGATGTTTTGAACAATGGGTGCAATCCCCCAATCAAATAAAAAAAATCCTTCACATGATTTGACCATCTTTGTTGTATTTATAGAACACTACATTAAGAATTAATTATAGTTAAAAAAAACTAAAAACACAGTTTTACTGATGAACCTAACTAAAAAAAGTGTCTGTATGCCATTAACACACGGTAGAAGTGAAACATTAGAAAAGTAACCTACGAGAGAATGAGATGAATATAGAGTAGTAGGAGTTATAAGGTTTAAAAGTTATTTTAAATTTTATTTTACATATTTTATAACATATTAGTATTATTTTTATTATTTTTCACTTCCTGTGTAATGTATTCTATCTCATTCTCTCGCCGGCTTAATCTATTTAAGTTTTTGACTCTTTCTCGTGTCGCATTTTCATTTCATCGAGTTTCAAATCACAACGATTCTAAAGAAGTTTCACTTCAAAGCAAAAAATAATTTTTAGTATAAGAATAAAGTTATTATCGAGAAAATTAATGTTATTATGAAAAAGCATATTCTGTTTGATATCAGTTGTTATAGATACTCCATTGGTAATATTTCTAAAAGTAGAGTTAGTATAAAATATTGTATAAATCACCAATTAACTTTATAAACTATAATTTATATTCCATTTTTTAGTTTGATCTGCTATAAAACATGTTTTGTAGTTTTTATTATAATTATTATTTTTAATAAATTATTGTTTTGTCATCGGTCCCACTAATTTTTGTAACAGCTAAACTGATTACTATGATATGAATAGATTTTTACTTCATAGAAACAGATACAACTTTCAATTAGGTACTACTAGGCTAAAAAGTAGCCTATGTTACTCTTTATGCTATTTTTTATCCCAATAAATGATATAGATTTCTGCAGAATATATCCTCTATATATATAATAAAATTGTAATCAAGCCAAATCTGTACATTAAATATTTTTTGGAAAATCTTATTGAAATAAACATTATTATCGATACAGAAGCCGAATCTATAGTTTTTAGAATTTTTGTCTGTCTGTCTGTTACCGCATCACAGAAAAACGACTAGATGGAATTTGATGAAATTTGGTATGGTTATCCGGGTCAACATATAGGACTTTTTACCGCGGGAAAATATCTCATTTCAGAGAAAAATACAAAAACTGCAATGTAAGAATACACTAATATGTAAAACCTAAAAATTTGATTTTTGGTCATCTGAACGCGGGCGGAGCCGCGAGAAATACTAGTCTAATACATAAAATTCTCGTGTCACAGTGTTTGTAACAAAACTCCGCCGAAACGGCTTGTCAGTAGGTCTGAGAATAGGACGCAAACTATTTTTCATACCCCTAAATGATAAGGATGGTCAACCCCAAAAAAAAATTTTTTTTTTTACTTTTTGAACAAAGTTGTTTAATTTAATTTTCTTATGATATCATTAAAAAATACATACACAAACCTAAATTTTCAGTACTAGTAAGTATAAAGATTTGAATACCTCAGTAGCCTCTTTCAGTTGTTCCAGAACACCGAGAGCTTCCAACGATATCATGACCGTGGTTTCGAAGGTCTTGTCCTCTTCGGTCAGAGACGCCTCAAACTCGGGTGTTATATCTTGGAGGTACGCGTCCGTCACTTCTTCGCTCTTTGTTAGTTCTGAAATATATTACTTTATGTTTATAGTCGTGGTACTATCTACGTCTTGATACTCTTATGAAGAGAACTTTGAACCTAAATATCCTTAATATAAAACTCAGTGCAACACTCTAGTCTCTAGTCCGTAACTTAGATAAATAATGTTAGTAGCATCTGGGCGACCGAGCTTCGCTCGTTTTTTAATCAAAGTATAAAAATTGGGTTTTTTTACATAGATAAACTTAAAACGCAAAACTTTATCTAAATATAAAATTTTATTAAAATCGTTAGAGCCGTTTCCGAGTTACATGAAAAAAAAACATCAAATACATATATAAATTCTTTATAAAATATTATAAGAATAATATAAAAATTACATTAATGCTTATGCATACCTCTGTGCAAATTTTTTTTTTGCGCCAGGAGCTTACCAGAAGTATACAGAAAAATCCATTAGAGTTTCATCACATTCGGATTAATGGTTTAGGAACGCATAAAGGACAAATATACAAACATTAATTTTTATTTATATGTATTGTATTCATCCCTTTTTAACGTCCCAATGCTGGGCACGGGCCTTCCTTCAATACGAGGGGGATCAGGCCATAGTCCACTACGCTGGCCAAATGCGGGTTGTCGGACTTCACATTTCTTTCAAAAACTTACTCGGTTCTCTCAGACATGCAGATTTCCTCACGATGTTTACCTTCACCGTAAGGCAAGTGGTAATCATGTTGGAAATGGTTCGCACATGAAAATATCAGAGGTGCGAGATCCGGAATTTGAACCCGCTTGACTCGGTTTCCCAAGCGAGCGCTCTACCACTGGGCTATCACTGCTTTTTTATTTATATAGAAGATAATAAACATTCACAACACACAACAATACTTTTATTTCTCTCCTTTCATAGAATAATCAGGACAGACTTTGGGAATTTACAAATCTTCTCTATTATGCGCAAATATTAGTCTCAGTGAGATTTGCCACTGGAACTAAAAGTGGGAAGCAGAAGTTAGCTATACATATAATAAAATTGTAACTAAGCCGAATCTGTATATAAAATATTTTTTGGAAAATCTTATTGAATCGTGTGGATATTATGTCTACGCTAAAAACGGAAAAATAAAAACTTTAAAACATAAAAACCGACTTGAAAAAAACACACCAAAAGGTAAAAAATAATTGATTGGTAGTTTTCATTTACTATAGATACCGAATCAAATGCCAAAGGCCGGTGTCAGCCGATACAAATCAAAGCAGTTGTTATTTTTATCTTAAGTTTTTTTGGTATTCATACTTCTTCTATACATATAATAAAATTCTGAGTTGAATCTGTACATTAAATATTTTTTGGAAAATCTTATTGAAATAGTCATTTTTATCGATACCGAGGCTAACAACCATGGGGTTGCTCCAAGGTCCACTCTGCTACCAGAGAAGTACCAGGAGCAACCCGCACCGTACACTGCCCGCCGAAGAGGGCCGCCTCCCTGTGCACTTCTTGGCTTCGCGCCCAGCTGGATTGCCGGGCACTACTGAGCCCCCCCCCTCCCCTCCCCTCCACCACGACGCGGTGAACCCACGTTGGGGGATAGCAGGTTATCCGAGTCAACATATAGGATACATTTTAATGTTGAAAAATATCTCATCTCTGAGAAATCTATACTAAACGCTAAAACGTAACTAGGGACGCATCCTCGCTCGCTGGTTCGTCCCTAGTTATAATATTATATATTACCTGCAAGTAGCAAGGCAGTGCGTCGCCGAGCTGATACCCGCCTACTGAGAGGAGCTCGCTCATCTTTATACACTGCTTCGCTGATCCTACGCACGATTATATCCACTAGTTCTTTCTTCTTCACCTGTTCAATATATTATATCATAAAATACATTAAATATGTTGGGACATTAACACACAGCACCATCTATTTCCATGGTAAGCTATGAGGCTTGTGTTATGGACATATAGTTGATACACTACACATATATGTATAACTTTAAATAAATACATATTATAAACACATGACTGGAGTACAAGCATTCGTGATCAACACACAAATGTTTGCCTCCGGCGGGACTCCAACTCACGACCGTTGGTAAGCAGCAGGTAGTAGTAGTGGTAGCAAGTAGTAGTAGCAAGCAGCACTACAAACTGAACCAAACGTATCATCATTGTATGTGTGAAATGGAAGATTTTAATAATATTCTGTATAAATAGGCAAATTCTGGTTTTTATAGATAAATCAGAATCTTCATAAACATACCTTTGTCAAATCAATTATATAAGATAATAAATGAAAATATTAAATACTAATACATTTTATTTTTTTTGAGCAGAACCCTAATTCATTTACTGAAATAAAAGTAGCCTAAGTTACTTCTTATAAAATCAACTGCCTTCCAGTGAAAGTCCCATTAAAATGGGCCCAGCTGTTTCGGAGATTAGCCGGAGCAGACAGACAGACACAAAAATTTCAAAAATTGTCTTTTTCTTATAAATACTATATATTATATTTATTATATATATTTATTTGTCTGAATTTAGATCACTATTAAAAAATATATATTAATATACTTTTAAGATACAAGAAATATTTTATAATCTTTTTACTTTATTAGCAATAATTCTACATCAAAATTTAAAATTTACCTGAACAGATAAATAAAATTTAAGTATCTGTTTGTAAAACATTTTTTTACTAAATGCATATGAAATTAATTACAGTACTTATAAGAAAAAACACAATTTTAAAAATTTGTCTGTCTGTCTGTCTATTTGTTACAGCTAATCTGCTGGACTGATTTTGACGAAACTTTCACTGGCAGATAGCTGATGTTATAAGGAGCTAAATAAAGCTACTTTTATTTTAGATAAAGAATTAGGGTTCCACTAAAAAAACTTAAAAGTAGTATTTATTTAAAATATACCTTACCAGTAGATGTGCAGTGGTTGCAGACAGTGCATGCACATGAGGCAGCTCGGTTTGTGCCGTGAGTAGTGCAGCTTGCAAAGCATGAGCCGCACCCAGGACCCTACCTGAAGATGTAAGCTCCCGTGCCTCACGCTCAGACACTACTACTCGTTCACTGAAATTGAGTAGCAAATAATAATATTACATATTGTAATTATGTAATATTAGTTAGTATTACATATTGGATTAAAAGGGAATATGGTCATTTCATAAAAGAACTACTAGGAACTCAGTGAATATATGATTTGCTTCCTATTATATATTTTCAAAATTTTCACTTAGTATTGAAATAAGTATACATATGACAATATATATATATAACAATATTTCCAAACTCTGGTTCAAGTCTGCTCACATCCAAGCAGCTTTAAAATTCAATGAAAACATTAATATAAAATAATAAAATGCTTACATATCAGTTAACATCCTTAGAGCATGATGATGGGTTCTAGCATCTGCCCACAATCGACGAAGATCATCTCTTCTCACTCTTAACAGTGCCCTGCAAGCTCCTAATCTGGCTTCAGCTGCAGAACAGTGCTGACCCCAAGCACTAAGAGCTGAGCCGACTGCACTGAATTTCTAGAAAAATAAAAAAAAATAGAAGAATGTATTTATTTGCCTAAATAATTTCTAACAAAATAAGAATTATTTCGAAAAATTAGATATTATCATCAATACAAACTTGCATGACATCAGTAATTTCCTGTGCATGAATCGCAACCAGCTCGTCAAGTTTAGCATCACTTTTCTTATATTCCTTTTCTAATTTGGCTCTTTCTTTTTCTCGTTGCTCGTTTGTTTCACTTGCAGATAAGGTCCGGATAACTGACATAAGAAGACCACTCTATATATAAAAAAAGAAAATATATCAATTAATAACAATCAACTAAATTATTCAAACAAGTGATAACATTTTCGTTTTCTTAATAAATTTGATCATATATTGAAAACAAAATAAAGACTGCACATACCGTCTCCTTCCCTTGTTTTACACCTCGAGGAGGTTTAGTTGGTGGGGGTGAAGACATATTTTTATTTAATTACTTTGTATATTTTTTCACAAAAAATATAAATTTTCTACAGGATCCACCTACAAATTTCTATTTACATTTGTCATCCATGATTTCTATTTACCATTTGTCAAATGTCAATTGACACTTTTTTATTTACTGTCGTCTGTCTCTCATTGTCATTTAGTGTTGTATGCTCTGAATTAATAGGGAAGATTTCTTGAAACGAGGGCACTACACGTATAATCTATTTATATTCACTAGCAGTATAGCCTGAGGTTAAAAATTCCCAATTCAAAATATTTTATTCAGTATTAAATTATTACAATTTTTTACTGAACATCATGAGTCTATTTATTATGATATCTCTTTTGTACCTGGTTTTTTTGCTTCTATTGTGTTCGCATCTTACCTATGCAATGTATTGTACCTAACTGTAAGTTAAACCAACTGAAGAAAGTATTGAGAAGAGGAGGTGCATCCTGCGGTGGACTTGACTGACTGATGGATCACCATACAGTCTAAGCCACTGGTTGTAGAAACACAAAATTTGGATGACGTATTCCTGTATGACGCATGCATCCGATAAGAAAGGATTTTTCAAAATTCATTCCTTAAAGAAGTAAAAAGGGGTAAAAAAGTTTATATGAGCCAAGAATTATTTATGATCAGAATTACTTGAAACTTGGTATTAATGCTCATCAATACAATTAAATAAAAACATGTTTTAGCATTTTTGGAAATTCAATCCCATTAGGGGGTAAAATGAGGGATGAAAGTTGGTATGAAACTCTGTAATTATTATGTAAAAAAATCACCTATAGACAATTTAAGAGTGTTAAAATCACTTTCTGTAAAATGATGTCCACATAACTTTAAATATAAAAATTGAGATTTCGCCAATTTCTTCAGTTTTGTCTGTTAGGAAGAAATGATATCCATTTTCTTTGCATTCTGGCACTGCACAATTTGTAATTTTAATTAAATTTTAAATTATATAAAAAAAAAACCATCCACGCTTAGGAGGCAAAATACTCCCTATTTAAACAGCTTGGTGGATTTCATAATTTAATAATAATATTAGATCAATAAACTTGAAAATATTATAAATCACACTACATACTTATTATTATTTTCTTACAATATTTAAAGTTCACGAATATTTGAATTGTAGATTAAATAAAAAATAAGAGAAATTTGATGTCTTTATCTAGTTTATTAGTCATCTGTGTCGACTCTACCTATGTTACCGTCAATGTCAGAACTCAGCAGTCAGACTGCGATATCGTTATTTTGAAATTTGAATTCAAAATAAAAAATCTTATTGTTTTTTATAATTTTATTTTTTATCAGTAAACTTATATTTTTTCATCAAACTTGTAATGGATTATTCAACAATAAGTAATAAAACCGAAGTTGAAGAATTAACAGGAGGGGATTTATCTGAAAACTATCATTTACTTCGTAAACAGTATAATAATTTATCGAGTAACTTCGAAGCTATTAATCAAGAACTCCACGACACAAGAAGAAGTTATCAAACGGCATTAGATGTTCAAAGTCATTTAACGGCGGAATTGGAAAGTTATCAAGCTGAAGAGAAGAAACGTAGAGCCGAGCTGACATCGCGGATAACAGCTTTACAAGAGGACATATTAATACTACGACAAGAGCGTACAGAATTAACTGACCGTCATTTAAATGAAATTAAAAAACTAGAACTTGAAAATAAACGCTTAAAAGAAGAACAAGTTCACGCTACTCGTGACTCGCCTGTGCGTGATGATACTTCAGAAATAGAAGAAACACGCGCAGCATTATCTACGGCGTCTTCAGAAGCTATAGCAGCTAAAGTAGCTCTTAAAGAAGCTGAGAATGTACTGAAATCATGGCAGTTAAAGGTTGAAGAGTTACAAACAGAAATCAGTGAGTTAAGAGCTGCAGCAGAAATAAGGAAAGAAGAAATTAATGCTGCAGGGGAGAGGGAAGCTGCTGCTATAGCCGACTTAGCAGAGGCTAGGGCATTATTGCACCAGGTCAATTCACAGGATTTAGAACCTCATGGTAAAATCTTCTTTATTTATTATTATTTTAGAACTTTATTCATTTTTGAGTATGATTGTTATCATATTAGGATCTTGTACCTTACTAAATGGAAAGAAAGCTATTTTACTGTTTTTATTGGTATTAATTTGATATGTTCATGGCTTTGGTTTCAGCTGCCAAAGGAAATTCGTTGTTTGCTGAGGTAGAAGATAAGCGTCAAGAAATGGCAAAAAATCTTATACAAATGAAGCAAACTAATTCTAGAGTAAGTGAACTTCAATGGTTGCATTATAGTTTTTCCTTGTATGTTTTCTATTGAATATGGAGAACTTTTGTTTTTTATAGGAATGTATTTTCTTATATTAAACTATCATTCTTACAGTTAAGAAGAGATTTAGCCAATAAGCAAGCAGAACTAGATACTTTGTTACATGAAAAACAAACTATTTGGGAACAACAAGCTGGGGCCGCAGCACATTATGATAGAGAACTTATAGGTAAATATTCATAAATGTCCAGTTTATAAAACAAATTTTGCATAGATAACACTTTTTAAAGGTAGACTTAAATAAATGTATAACAAAACAAACACGAATAATAAATTGTAATAATATACTATGTATTATATTTCCCAAGATGTGTCGATGTCAGGCAGGAGGCCTGGCTCTTTTCCAAATCCTATCAGCAGTACGGAAAATGTACTGCGCCAACCCCAAGTGATTGGGAAATGAGCAGGGAGATAATGACTGTGTATTATATAAGGGAGAATAAAATTTTACAATATTCATGGTGAAGGAAAACATTGTGAGGAAACCTGCAAGTCTGAGAGAACCTAGCAAGTTTTCGAAAGACATGTGAAGTCCACCAACCAAATGAATACATATCTATCTATCTATAATAATAATGATTAATTATTATTATATTAGCTTTTGAGGTATTTATGAAGTTAGCTATTTAGTGATAGAGGTGGAGTTATCATGATTAGTGTATTATATCCATGTACTTAATTTTAAGAGAAAGTAGGGACTGTTGGGGCCATTTGGTAAGGTTGGTACTACACCTACTTTAAGTAAAAGTTTTCATTGAAATTATTTATTTGTGCTGTGCCTCAGATGTTAAATATATTTTAAAATTGAATATTGCAGAAAGTTATGAGGAGCGCATAACTGAATTGGAAGGTTTATGTGAGAGACAAAGAAGGGAATTGGCCCGATGGTTCAATAAACATTGTGATTCAAATGCACAGGGCTGGCTTCCTGGAGTTTTAGAACATTTGAAGTAAGTATAGTTTATTATGTATCTATCTATACATAGTTTTAGTATCTACATTTTTTATTCTGTAACACCATATTATTGTAAATAAAACTATCTTTTTGGATTATTTTGTGGATTTATTTAGATTTTTGGTTGTCGACGTTTCGAATGCTTTACAGCAATCATGGTCACGGGAGAGACTAAGGTTTAAAAACAAAATAAATCCATGAAATAATAAATAAAATAAAAGAAATAAAAAATATAGTTTTATTTAAAATGTCAAATATTCACATAAAGCTAAGAAAGTACTGAGTTATTGTGTTAACAGGCACAATACATGCCTGTGTCAAATACTGTGAGAAAGACACTATCTAGATTTTATGATACTACTAGCAGAACCCGCGGCTTCGCTCGCGCTAAATCTACAAATCAACCTGTATAAAAAGTAGGTTTCATACAAACTTTCATGTCCTAATTTACCCCCTTATAAAATCAATTTCGATAAATGCTAAAATACGTATTTATTTAATTGTATTGAAGAGCAATAATACCAAGTTTCAAGAAATTCTGATCATAAATATTTTTTTGGTAGTATTATAACGTATTTTCCCGTGGGAATGAGATAATCTCCCGCGATAAAAAGTAGCCTATGTCACTCTCCAGCTAAAACTAAATCACGCCAATCTGTCACTCCGTTTCGACGTGAAAGAAAGACAAACAAATAAACAAACACACTTTGACATTTATAATATTAGTATGGATTTTAAATGGAGTTATTTTTAAAAGAAATGTACATGTAGAGAGCATTCAAAATTGTTTGTCAAAAAGTTAAAGCAACACAAGTATAACCTGTATACAGGGATCTATAGGCTTCACAGACTAAATTTAAATAAGGGCTGATCGATTGTTTTATCACATCTCTTTCAATACTACAAATCAACAAACATTTAGAAATAAAAAATAAAAATATTTAGCATTAAATTAACATCAATTCTGCTTTATTTAAAACTGTTAAATAAGGGTTTCAAATTATATTAATTTTTTTTTATTTTTTTTCTTAGAACCCAATGTGATCAATTGCGTGCTGAAGTGTTATCTAGAGGGACATCTCAATTAGCCAGTGCCGTACAAGTGCGTGAATTAAGAAGAAAAATAGCTCATCTGACGGCTACAAACAAACAGTCACCTGTACAAATTAACGATAATGATGTCAGTTTAAAAGTAATACATGTAAAGAAACCAGCTATTGAAGATGTCAAGAAAAAAGTGTCGTTCAATTAAAATGTATAGAAATTATTTTAATATGCTTAATTTTTTATTAAATATATCAATTAGTTCGTATGGAATCGTAAACACGCTTTTAATAGCTTCACCTGTATCTATCTTAACAGTATCTTTGAACGCGATTTTGATCCACTTAAAATGGGTGAAATCGAGTTTTTTTTTTAATTCTACCTCTAAAACTTTTTGTTTTCTAGGTCGATTGACTAGAAAATTGGTACACATACTCTTCAATTAAAATTATGAGACACGTGTAACATATATTTTCTTAAATCATCCCCCAACAGAGTCAAATAAGGCTTCGAAAATCCTGATACGTTACGGTAGACGGGCGCATGGCGTGCAGGGCGGTGCAGGGCGTGCGGGGTTTTTTTTGTATTATTTTTATAGTTATAACTTTTTTATAGTTATAACGCGAGCGAAGCCGCGGGTTCTGCTAGTTTTTAACATGATTAAATAGTAATTATTAGTGTCTTAAGGAGTTTGCTAGAACCTAATTATTTTACGGATGATGTGAAGTCCATCAAGCCGCATTTAAACGTTTGGAAATACATTTATTTTTGCATGAGTAAGATAAAAGATAATGAAATAATGTTTATTAGTCCCGCTGAGTTTCTTTCGCCAGTTCTTCTCAGGCCTGAGGCTTCTTTCCGAACTGATAGTAGACTCATGACGTTCAGTAAAAAATGTAATATACTTTGTTATTTAGGAAGGTCCGTGCCAAGTCTACGTGTGACGTTAAAATGATTGAATTATTATATAATTATTATTATCCCAGTTCCAAGTAGTTATAAGCACAAATGAAAGGTGTCTAATTTCTATACATATATGCGAAGGTGTATTAGTGCTAGTATAGTACAATGTCAAATGTGGTATACTAGGTGGGTATATTATATGGATGGATTTAATTTTTTTTTTATATAAAAAAATGGCTTTTTATTTATTAAATAATTACAAACTTTAATGTGTTATCTGATATGAAATCATAAGCAGATATTTTATATTTATACAACACAAGTATCGATTTAAAGAAAGATAAGTACCTATATAAAGCAAAAATAAGCTACACATTATATGCCACACAGTTATATATAAATACAGATTGTATACAAAAAAGTTTGTACATTTATGAAAATATTTGTCTATAATTTTCTTTTCTGTTCATCGTCACTAGACAGCTCTTTAAGAGCGTGTTCGCGAGCCCTCGCCACGTAGCGGGACCGACGTGCAGTTTCACGCGCGTCCCTCTCGTTACGAGCGTGAAGTCTTTTAGTGCCAGCATCTTGGACGCATTGTGAGAATTCGCCTAAAAACAACAATTATTGAAATACTAAATACTTCTGGAACTCATATTATTGATAGTTTTCAAAAATGTTGCGGTTCGTGGAAATTCATCATTTTCTGTTCCGATTAATTGTATTCCGTAGCCAAAAGGTAAAAACGGAATTTAAAAAAAATCATGTCTATGTCGAAGTCATTTTACTCGGACTATTGAATATATTGTTGTTTGGCAGGTAGGTGTCTCTAGATACCTGACAATTCTATAGTCAAAAAAGTTTCAAAGTAGTTGCAGAGTACTCGTAATAAGCTTTTAAACATATTGTAAATTTAAAGTTTTATTGTTACGGAACTCTCGGTGTGCAAGCCAGACTTGCACATGCTCGGATTAACAATTTAAAAATATAAAAAACCAAACAAATCGTACCAAACAAACGCCGTTAGGCACATATAAAACTTTCTTAAAGAATATCTATCTATACCAACATATATTAAAATTGTAACTAAGCTGAATCTGTACATTAAATATTTTTTGGAAAATCTTCTTGAAATAAACATTATTATCGATACAGAGGCCGAATCTATAGTTTTTTGAATTTTTGTCTGTCTGTCTGTTACCGTAACACAGAAAAACCACTGGAGGGATTTTGATGAAATTTAGTATGGCGGTAGCTGGTTACCCGGGTCAATATATAGGATTAGACTTTTTTCCGCAGGAAAATATCTCATTTCTGAGAAAAATTATAAAAACTGCAATGTAAGAATATACTAATGTGTAAAATCTAAGAATACGTTTTTGGTCATCTGAACGCGGGCGGAGCCCCGGGCAATGCTAGTAACTAAATAAAATGACACATTTACCTATCGTATCCCAACACTTGATAATTTCATCTGGATGACTTAAGTTGTAGCAGTCTATTATTTTATCCTTCACGTCCTCACACACGGGTTCAGGAGTCACCATGTTGGCTGTTCTCATCTCCACTCGTGTCATTAAAGCTTTTAACTCATGTTCTGTTAATCTGTAGGTATAAGGTACATACATATAATAAAATTCTAACTGAATCGAATCTGTCTATTAAATATTTTTTGGAAAATCTTATTGAAATAAAAATTATTATCGATACGGAAATCGAATCTATAGTTTTTAGAATTTTTGTCTGTCAATCTGGGAATACATCACGGGAAAACCACTGGACAGATTATGATGAAATTTAGTATGACGATTGCTGGTTATCCGGGTCAACAAATAGGATACTATTTACTGCGGGAAAATGTCTCTGAAAAATCTATACCTACTAAACGTTAAAACGACAGACTGTAGATTCGGCCTCCATTCACATTCTAAAAACTATAGATTCGGCCTCTGTATCGATAAAAATTAAAAATATCTATTTAAATAAGATTTTCCAAGAAATATTTAATGTACAGATTCGGCTTAGTTACAGATATTACGTACCTATAGATATTTGTAAAGATTTTTTTTCACATAATAAAAAAAGGGGCCTGATCAGGTTTACAGCAATTAAATATAAAATATACAGCACAGTCACTTTACTATTCAGAAATGAAAACGAGAAATAGTACTTAATTATTATAATTTAAAAAACTAATATTTTAACGACTACGACTCAAGGCTAAACAGAAACTTCACTTGTTTTACAGTGGCATAAATAATAATAAATAAATAAATAAATATGTTGGGACATTAACACACAGCGCCATCTAGTTCAATAGTAAGCTACGCGGCTTGTGTTATGGATACCAGATAGTTGATACACTACACATATAGAATTTTTAAATACATACATATTATAAATATAAACACCCATGACTGGGGTATAAACATTCGTGCTCATCACACAAATGAATGCGCCCAGCGGGACTCGAACCCGCGACCGCTGGCACTGCAAGTAGGGTCACTACAAAGTGAGCCAAACGTGTCGTCAAATGTGTTAGGTACAATATAGGGGGTTCAATTCCCGTTTTTATGGGTCATACAAACACAAAATAACTTTTTATCCGACTGCGGCGAAGTCCACAATTATTGCTATATTTTTGTACCTATGTCCAATCCTATATTCCCTCGTATATATAAAAATTATTATTGCTTATTTTTAATTAAAAAAGTTATTTCGATCAAGAAAAGCTTAGATTATTGATTGGGCATACGAATATTTATGGTTTAAAGTATTTCGTGCACTTTTTATCGTATTATTTACTGCCATCCTTTCATATTAAATCTTTGAGTATGTTTATATATACAGTATCTACTTGGGCGACCGAGCTTTGACAGTTTTTTTTGTAAAATCGTGTTTTTTCATAAACCGAAAAATCACCTATATGGATAAACTCAAAAAACAAAACTTTATCTAAATACAAATTTAGATTCAAATCGTTAACAGTCGTTTTCGAGATAGATACACGAAATAAATTTATATACAAGGATTGCTTACTTAATATTAACACCTCCAGGTAAATTTCTAAGAAGTTAATTAAATTTTTAAGAAATCTATTGTTAACTGTAACGCCGGCGTTTCCGCGGTCGTGGAGGGATTAGAAGAATTTGTAAGCGTTTACTCGCGAAAGACTTAGTCTTCCGTGAACTAACTTATATAAAAACTTTAAGCAACAAACCCAAAATTCTTCTTCGTTTTAAAAGATTCTAATTTAGTTAGGTGTAATAGAGTAAAAATTTTCCTAGTTAAAAAGTTCCTTGTTCGGATATACTATGAAGTTTCAGAATTCGTACCTCAAGAGGAAAAAACGTAACCCTTGGGCTTATAGAATCTCTCAAGTCAGTTTATTTTTCTGTTACTAAATCCTATTTTTAAATTTAATTTTATTAATAAATACTAATGTTGAGAAATATTTATGGCTGTCGAAATAAAAAATATAAATTAATATTATGTGACATATAAATTGAGAGGTTTCCTCTTGTGAAATGTGAACAAACACAAGAATTATCGGGATTTCACTCTACGACTTCTCCAAAACTACTTTTGAAAGTCATGATCATCATAAACTTGAGCTCGTAGCGTATCTACTTGTCCAAGGTTTATTTTTTTGCAAGGCAATTTCTGGCAAAAAAATGTTTATAGGGTTGCCCATCTTTAACACAATCTTCCGACTTGATTTTTACATAGATCGCAGCTTAAAAACTAGAGAATCTTATACGCTTTAATACTACATTAAGTAGTCTCTGAGGGCCATGCCTCAGTGATGTAATATGGGGGTGCCCAGCGTATTGGCCATTTTAAAATATATTCACATTAAATTAAATATCGACATAAATCTTTTAAAGTCGAAGTTCCAGCACTGGGTGTATTCTTGAAATTCGATATAAATCTTTGTTTTTGCAGCGCTCAGTGGTCACTGTCCCCTTATAAATAAATCGTTAAAGTGGAATACATTAGGCTACATATTTATTTATAGTTTATGAGATTTTGTCATATTTTTTCTTTATAATATCATTTAAAAACTGGTGTAAATTTGAGAACATCTGCCGTCAAATTTGAACGTCGACAATGATTTCTTTTCAAATAAAATAATCAAAGACTTCAAAATTAATGTAAAAGCACAGATCATATAATACTATACTGTAAACGCAATTATTCCATTTACAGGCAAAATATTTCCTTAAACTTTTTTGTTTCCTTAGAAAAAAATGAAAATCAGATGAACTATGACTGAAGATATTGTGTAACATACACAAAGAAACATAATTTAAATTATGTATGTATGTACCTACACTGTACACGCAAATTGAGTAGCTCCTACTTTTAGAATTTATCAGAGAATTGTATTAGATTCAAGGTTATAATTGAATCTAACCTATACTTACATATAATAAAATTGTAACAAAACCGAATCTGTACATTAAATATATTTTGGAAAATCTTATTGAAATAAGCATTATTTTCGATACAGAGGTCGAATCTAGTTTTTAGAATTTTTTTCTGTCTGTTATCGCATCACAGAATAACCACTGGAGAGATTTTTATGAAATTTGGTATGGTGATAGCTGGTTATCCGGGTCAACATATAGGATACTTTTTAGCGTGGAAAAATATTTCATTTCTGAGAAATAATACAAAAATTGCAATTGTAAGGGTATACTAATATGTAAAACCTAAAAATTTGGTTTTTGGTCATCTGAACACGGGCGGAGCCGCGGGCAATGCTAGCACAATAATAATAAATAAAGTAATATTCAATGTAAGGTTCAAAATGTATCTTATAGCGATGAATGTAGAGGGAAAATAGTTGAGTTTAATTTCAAAGTTAAACTATAAAACTCTCAAATGTAGGTAACTAAAAGTTAAGTTGATGTAATAAGTAGACTGTAAAAAATTCTAAACCAAATAGCCATCCATCTCATACATAAACGAATTCGCCTCATCTAAATATTGAACCTTGCATTCCTATAATATTGTTACTGCCTACATAATGTACCTATAGTGTACCTATATTAATAACTTAAATAAGTAGGTATATATAATATATATACTAGCGGACCCGACAGACGTTGTCCTGTCTACACGTCGTTAATTTGAAAATTTCAAACTTTTTTTAATAATTTTTTTGATGAAAATTATTATTCAAATTGTGAATCTAAACCATTCCCAGATCCCCTTGAACACACACAAAAAATTTCATCAAAATCGGTCCAGTCGTTTGAGAGAAGTTCAGTGACATACACACTCACAGAAGAATTATATATATATAAATATGTAATAATTCAAACTTGGTCCATCAAACCCGGTCCATTTGACTGCATCGTGAAGCAACTATTTATTTAATGGCATCGATCGATGTACCTACTACAATGCTGTTTACTTATCCGCATTCATCTGAATATAAGTTCTTTAACCTTATAGCACTTAAAATATACAAATTATCTGAGAAAATGCCCGTTTATCCCGTTTACATACCAGATATAATGAGAGTCCATCAGTCAGATGATAATTTAATAAAAACTTGGGTGCGATTGTGAGTGTTAATCTTTGTAGATGGTTCTGTATAGTCAAGGAAATAAAATAGCTAATTAATTCGTCCAGTGGGTATTATGCTTTGCATTGTCTATTGTTTCTGTGCGGTTCTTGAAAATATTTTAAATTACACAATATTATCATGATTAAATACTTTTTGTATCAATTAAAATTAATAACTTCAGCTTATAGGGTGAATTTTTTAAAATGCCCTATGTACTATTTATTAAAAAGAATATAGGAAAAATTCTTAATTGGTGACAAAAGTACACACGAATTGAGTTCCTTGTCTTTTTTATTAAAAAAAGTGGAGAAAACGACAGTAGTGACGTAGAAGGGGAAAAGACAAAATGCTTCTTCCCCTATTTTATAAATATAACCATAGAATATGCACTTTTTATAAGTGTACCTTATAGCAATCGAAAATACATTTAAAGATAATTTTTTCGTTCGAAGAAAGCGCAAAAATATCATACCATTACAATCATTGAGAATAAAAAAAAATACGATAAAGGTTTTTATGTATCCATAGCGAACCCTAAAGCATATTTTACAATTAAAAACAATGCAATTATTCTAACCGATGAGATTCACTCCATTGCATTGACACGCTGGTATCTTATTAAAATATCTCGTGTTTTTAACGTTATTTATGTGACATTCGTACATTTTACCTCATTTCATTAATAAGGAAACATTTAGTTTTTTACAAAATAATTCATATTACTAGCGACCCGTTCTCGCTTCATTCGGTCCTTAACTATAATCTTACATGGTCATTAAAATTTAAAATATTCTATGGAATTCATTTCGAAGACAAGTACAAAATGTACATTTTGATACATGATACAAGAGTTTGACACATATAAAAGACTAGCAACTTACCCTCGCTCAGCTCGGGTTCGTCCCTATTTACGTTTTAACGTTCAGTATAGATTTCTCAGAAATGAGATATTTTCTCGTAATAAAAAGTATCCTATATGTTGAACCGGATAACCAGCTATCATCATACAAAATTTCATCTAAATCCCTCCAGTAATTTTTCCGTGATGCGGTCATAGACAGACAGACAAAAATTCTAAAAACTATAGATTCGGCCTCTGTATCGATAATAATGTCTATTTCAATAAGGTTTTCCAAAAAATATTTAATGTACAGATTTGACTTAGTTAGAATTTTATTATATGTATAGTTATATGTTATCCCACAGGCTGCATACGCGCCACATTTAATCATTATATAATCTATGCATATAATAATATTCTGAGTCGAATATTTTTTGGAAAATCTTATTGAAATAGTCATTTTTATCGATACATGGGCTGAATCTATGGATTTTGGAATTTTTGTCTGTCTGTCTGGGAAGGCATCACGAGAAAACCACTGGACAGATTTTGATGAAGTTTGGTATGATGATAGCTGATTAGCCGGGTCAACATGTAGGATATTTTTGCTGCGGGAAAATATCTCACCTCTGAGAAATCTATACTAAGTGTTAAAAAACGTAACTAGGGATGAACCCGAGTAGAGCGAGGGGAGTCGCTAGTTTATTAATAAACGAGCAAACACATACAAATTTACACCAAAAATACCAAAAAATACAGGTAGATAGCTGTTGGAGTAACTCCATAGATGTTGTGGTCAGCTTCGACAGACCTGCCGTCGGGGCGTCGAAGTTGAATGCGTAAGCGATCCTGCGACGCCCCATTAAGACGGGGGAAGACTTTGTTGGGTTTTAGTGGGTAGTACTGGCTTTTCGAGCCGGTGAGTCCCACGTACCACCTGTATGTCTACAGGTGGTATGAAATAATGGAAAATAATGCTTGGCTCTCGTTTTCGCTTGGCTTAGATTTTGCTCTTGGTTTCATTTTTCTGTTCGTGATATTAGAAATGATGTAATACAAAATTATAACTATTTGTTTTAAAGTTAATTATAATTTAAATTACTTTAACATATTTCACAGAGATCACGGGATAAAACTTGATTTATTTTATTAAATGAACACAGGGTCGGACTTAGGGGAGTAAAGCCCTGTGACGATACTGGAATCGACGACATTTTTGGAAGTTATTTTTTTAATAAAAAGTAGGTTCATATATTATTTGGCATAAATATAAACACGCATACATACAAACTTTCGCATTTATTATAGTAGTATCATAGAATTAGCTGCCTCAGTGATGTAGTGGCTAGCATGTACCGCTGCACACCCGAAGGTCCTGGGTTCGAGTCCCGGGTCGTGCCAAGTTTAGTTATTGAGTCTTTCTGTATAGTAAGCCTCAATAACAGACCTGAGTTGGGAAGTTGGCGGTGTTTCACCCCCGTGCCTCGGAGAGCACGTAAAGGCGTCGGTCCTGCGCCTTAACTCTTACAACTCTTACCGGTCGTGTCGAGCTTAGTCGTCCCGCCGTAGTATGAGTGCACTATAATATCTACTGCGCAGTTGGCAAATCTCAATGAGATTGGACGCCGTGGCCGGAATCGATCAGGAGAACTGTATTATTATTATTATTATTATAGTGATTAGTAAGGATGATAGTACAAGATACGTTCTTACCCAGATCTTTCAGAATGGCTGTCATCCATACATCGAAGTTTTTCTATTAATATTTTCTCTTTATAATCTCCTTTGGGATTTGAGGCTCCGGTATCTATTCCAGCAACTAACGTGGCATCTTCAACGAGTCTTTCAACCTGAAGATGACGTATCTTTGGACTACTTTGGTTACTTTGGTACTTTGGTACTCAATATCAGATGAAAAAACAAAACAGAAAAATACATACCGACGAACATAGAACTCCCTCCTTTTAGAAGTTGGTTAATAAAAGAATCAGATAAATAAATATAAGCTGCTAGTCTTAGAGTGTGTTTAAATTCTGTTTACATTTATCCATTTTAACATCCATTTCCCATAAGACGGGTTGACATTTGTGACAGTAGTGGCCCAGTGGGGTTTGTGACAGTAATTTACTCTAATACTTTCTTAGATTTACGCGATAATTTGACATTTTAATATTTTATGTTTTTCGGCCACTTTTTTTTGATAGAGTATGAAAAATTGAAAAAGTCTTCATTTATCATTTGAGGTTGAACTTTAACCTCGAATAACTTTTAAACAAGTCTACTAAGCAAAAAAACATACAAGATCTTTTTTGTAGATCCTTTAATTCCCTACAAAAATATGTTTTTAATTTGACTAGACAATAATTCGTTGGAGCGCATTAAAATTCCAAAAAAAAATTCCTTGTTATTTATATGGAAAATCAAAAATCACGACGAACCACCTAATAATATTAAGAGCTTAAACTTTACAAGATTTTTTTTTCGTCATCGTGAACGATATTTTCATGGTAGCTAAAGAAAAACAATTTTTTGGCACACCCTAAATTACTTACTACTATATATTTTTAAAGTCATGAAGACGCATTAAAAGACTGATATTTATTATTTAAAAAGTTACGAAACCGCAATGATCGTGACTCATTTGTGTATACATAATTTATATATTTATTATAATTAAATTTTAATTTCCTTACTGATAGTGGCTAATTATGAATTAAAGATATTATTATAAATCTTCATATTAAACTAGTGAATTAGCTCCCGAGTGCGTCCCTAGGTGCCTAACATATATACATACATACGTCTGTGTGTGCTTTTGTCCGTATGTCAGGCTAAAACGACCAGACCGATTTTGATGAAATTTTGGACATATGTCCTGGAATAACATATACATATGTTATATAGGCAGCAGGTATGGGAGTCGCTAATATACTGACTAATCTTTATTTTATTAGAAATAGAATACTAACCATTTTATTAGAAATATTAATGTGATGCTTCTCCAAAGTATCATCTTCTAGAGGATCTGTCGCATATTCCGAACGGCTAAAGTGTGTCGCTCGAACTGATTGATTGTTTCCCATTCTTAATTTGTATTCTGAAAAAAAGAAAAAAATAGATTTCATACCAAAACTTGGATGCATCTTCATCCTGAACACAAAATAACGTTCCCATGGGAAAGAGGATAGAAGAAGAACAGCTAAATAGATTTTATAGTATACAAAAGAATATAATATAGGCATTTTTATCTAATAGGCATAAACTTAAACTTTTCAAGCCCAGAGTCCACCTATTTCTTACGCCACGTTTGAATATCCTTGAACTTTTGGTGGAACGAGCCGATAATCAGCGTCGCATCGTATACCTAAGCTTTGGTCATGGAATAATATTTGCATACATCTTCGACCGGACGTTCCGTGAGCGTCGTCGAACGATACAAATTACAGAATTAATAATACAAATATATCCAATTACATATGGCTTATGCATTAGCCAGATATGTTTATTATTTTTAACTAAGTACAATATATAATTAGGCTTTAATGTAAAGAGTAAAGACGTAGATTCTAGTAGAACCTATGTACTACAGATCCTGAAGTTCTGAGTTCGAGACCTGGATCGGGTCAAAATAGTTATTGAACCTATCAAGAAATCTCAGTCGTATTCTGTATTTGGGAAGTATCTGGTGGGGGTGACCGCCGTATTTCAGAAGGCACATACAGCTTTTGGTCCTGCATCTGATCTCTTACCGCTCTTGTCTGATTGACGCCCATGTGGGAGTGTGGGAGTAAAAAAAACGCAGGTGCACTTTTGTCTGGCTAGTCTCATCGCGTTTGGTCATCGTGACCAAAATTTAGTCTGGAATTTTTTTTTGTTGCAATTTCACGTACACATTGCTAGGCTGATTTTATGATTCGTATTAAAAGTAGTGAATTTAATTGAAGATATAACATTAAAAATATATTTTGCAACTATGTGTACCCGGATAATATCGCTAGTATTATGTAACGCTCTTAAGAATTAGACAATGCGGTTTGGTCAATTTTGTATTTGTATGAATACGTAATAGAATTTAGATGAATGTTTATTAGGATAATCTATAACCATGAAATGGACTTAGAAAATCAATTTGTCTTTTGCATGTAGATATTATATTTGAATTTAGTTTTTTAAGCGAGTACCTATTAGTCAAACCTCGATCAACTGTGTCTCAAGTTTCAAAAAAAAAAACAGAATATTAATAAGTGCAACATGTCGATTTCAACTTTATTGAAATTGTTATATAGATTTTGAATGTTACAAGTATACGCCATAGGAAAGGCAATAATTAGGAAAATAAGCTTTTTTTAGGGAATGGACAAAAGAACTCTTCAAGGGGCGAGAACCAGGGCAAATAGTAAGTTCCTCGAATGTTTTTGACGACAGTTAGATATCCTGAAAATCGTGTATTTCAGAATTTTGACCGATTTCAAAAAAAGTGAAGGTGGTGCTTGATGATATTCATATATTCATGACACTTGACAATTGTCAAACTCGAATCTTTGGCACCGCCGCATTATTTAGTGCCAGTCAGGAGAACATTACTACGCCATGACCATCGTCATAATTAGCATAATCTAGAGATAATTGTGAATCATATACAAAGCACATCCGCAAAACGTAGTTTTAGTTGCACGACGGGTAAAACTCCGTCTTATTTTTATAATTTATATGTTACCCAATACCTACTGCTACTTTGATTGTATAATATATTTGTCACGTGTATTCAATGTAGCAAATATAGTGCTGTTATATACATTAATTAAAATATTTTCCACAAAATTGGAACTTTTAGATTTTTTTTATAAAGTTCCATTCGAGATAGTAATCTCATAAAAATCTTCTATTGTCCGAAATATGAGATCCGGATAATGCTACTTGACCTTTGCATTTTCATCCCCGTTTCTTTAGCGGGATAAAAAAATTCTCGACACGGGTTTATACTATCACTTAATTTACTAGTACATTTACTATTAGTAATTTAAGAATAAACATGTATATAAACAAAAATGTAAATGTTCGTTTGTGCGAAACCTCAAATCTTCGTAAGCTTCACTGATTGTTTAGAAATGACCTGAAGTTTTTAAGCTGTTATTTCCCACTAGATTGCACCGAGCCGTATCAATTTCAACCGATTGCCACGGCAATCTATAGGTACACATAATAACATTATAACTAAGCCGACTCTGTACATTAAATATTTTTTGGAAAATCTTATTTAAATAAACATTATTATCGATACAGAGGCCGAATCTATAGTTTTTAGAATTTTTGTCTGTCTGTCTGTATGTCTGTCAGTCTGTCAGTCTGTCTGTCTACCGCATCACAGAAAAACCACTGGAAGGATTTTGATGAAATTTGGTATGGTGATATTTGGTTATCCAGGTCAACATATAGGATACTTTTTACCGCGGGAAAATGTCTCATTTCTGAAAAAAATACAAAAATTGCAATGTAAGAGTATACTAATACCTATGTAAAACTATGAATTTTATTTTTGGTGATCTGAACGCGGGTGGAGCCGAGGGCAATGCTAGTTGGTATATATGAGTCTTTGGGCACAGGGAAAATTTTGGAGTAAGTCTTAGTTCATTTATTCTATTTAGTGGGCGAAGTTGCGGACAAATGCTAACAATTTAAATTTTAGTTATCTATTAGTAACGGATATCTATCTACATGTGTATAAGCGCTGGATTTACACTAAGGGCACTCGGGGCTAGTGCCTAGGGCGGCAAAGTTTTATAAATAAAAATTAAATAAATTCGAAGGGTGGTAAAAAAAATTTCTTCGCGTTATCTAAAATATTTTTTTATTAAAGAAAAATGCAAAATAAAAAAAGATTAACTAGTAGGCACATTTTTCGAAAAATTGGTATCATTTATAAATTATTTCTTTGCATTTTAAAAAAAATATAATCAAAAAATTTAAACTTTCAACATTTTCACTGCGTATGCCTACCTATTTATAAAGATTTTCCTTATTTCATTTAACGTTAAATATTACGCAAAATACATACGTATTTTCAAAGTTGATTCACTTGGACCTGGAAGGTCAGGATAGCGGATACAATTTCAGTTTTGGCAATTTTTAGAATCCTCAAGTTACTAATAATATCATAACGAAATGAAAATTTTATAATAATTTAGGTATTCGAGCAACTATAATAACGTTCATTATTTTAAATTATACTCTGTTAGATTTACGCGAATATTTGACATTTTAAATAAAACTATCTTTTAAAATTACCAAATCAATACTTGTTAATGCCTTACAATTAAGGTACTTTGGTGCTTTGTTTTATATAATATATTTTTTCGGATATGTACCGTTTGTGCCACCTTTAAGACGTCTAAACCCATAGTCTGTCTGACCATGATTGCTGTAAAGCATTCGAAACGTTGGAAACCAAAAATCAAAATAAATCAGCGAAATTAGGTTTAAAAGCATAAAAAACTGACCTACGATGTTTCTATTAAAATTAGTCCCAAAGTCACAAAAATTAAATTAACACAAAATAACAAATTTAATATTGAGTACTTACTGTTTGTTTAATTTATAAATGTACACTTGTTCACTTATTTCCGCTTTTAAGTTTAATCGACAGTGTGAATCACTGTTCTTGAATAATGATATACGAAAATGATCTGATGTGCTTACATAGTATTAAAATAAATATTACTAGCGTTTTCCTGTGGCTTCGCCCGCATAGTACATTAATCACCAACAAATCTATACATATAATAAAATTATAACTAAGCCGAATCTGTACTTTAGAAAATCTTATTGAAATAAACATTAATATCGATACAGAGGCCGAATCTATAGTTTTTAGAATTTTTGTCTGTCTGTCTATCCGTCTGTTACCGCATCACGGAAAAACCACTGGAGGGATGATTTTTTTTTACTTTTTACCGCGGGAAAATATCTCATTTCTGAGAAAAATACAAAAACTGCAATGTAAGAGTATACTAATATGTAAAACCTAAGAATTTGGTTTTTGGTCATCTGAACGCGGGCGGAGCCGCGGGCAATGCTAGTCAAATACTAAAACCTCCTCCGAAACACGCTGCATCTTATGGTATGAGTATTATTCCGATCGTTTCAGTAGCTATCGCAGTATAACCGAACAAAAAAATCGGCTCTCCATTTATTAGTATAGATTAGCATATAATAAATATCACATGATGACGTTACTTTTCCTATAATATACACATAAGTGCGCATATAAAACAGGTGTTTTGAGAATAAAAAGGCAGATCAACTGATATATAAACGTAGTAATAAAATGATGCATAGGTACTAAAAACTTGTTAAAATTACTATACAAGTAACATGGACTAGCTAGTGTAAAAATATTAGATCAATTTCTAGAAGAACAATGAAATAGTATAATATTTTACTTTCAGTGATATTTGTAGCCTTAGTTATAATAATTAATTAATATAAGTAAAACGCAATTAAATGCTAAACAGTCTTGACCACGTCTTAAAACGCAACAAATAAACGGAATTGTTAAAGAACGATGTCACTAAGTCAGACTCGGTTAAATTACGTCACGTTATTTACATTTTTTGCCTACATTATGTTAAAATTTATTCTAATTTAACCGAGAAAACGGTAAACACAATACTAACAGGTGTTTTTTTTATAAATTAATTTGAAATTACTCAGACTTGGTTCCTAGGCGATACATACATAAAGAAACAAACTACACATGAATTGATAGCGTCCTCTTTTTGTGAAATCGGTTAAAAAGACATTTAAATATAAATATGTTAGGACATTAACACACAGCACCATCTAGTTCCATGGTAAACTACGAGGCTTGTGTTATGGATACCAGATAGTTCATACACTACACATATACAATTTTAAATACATACATATTATAAATATAAACAACAAAGTACAAACATTCATGCCCATCACGCAAATGAATGTCCCCAGCGGGACTCGAACTCGCGACCACTGGCGTACCAAGTAGGGTCACTACAAACTGAGCCAAGCGTGTTGACGTTGTTTTTGAAGAAAAGAGACGATTAAA